TACTGAACAGCTTATTGTCAAAATCAAAAAAGCACACAATTCTAGCTAATATTTCCATTGATACCCATCTTCTAAGGGCTCAATCAGCTTGTTTAAAATTTTAGGGCGCCTGTATTTCTAAATACGGAATCCTGTGCGTCCTATAGCACAGACCCGCCACCCTAAACCGCTATAAATCACCGCTTTGACACACTATCCTCGTTTTCTAAAACGATTCTTCGGTGTGTTGGAAATATTTTAGAGATTACTCTGCCATCAGTTTTTACAGTCTCGCCATATTCCAACCACCTTCCAGTCATGCCAAGCAAACTGCTAAATCGCTTTACTGCTATTCCAAATATTTGACTAAATGGTCTTTTTTCTAAAAAAGATCCACTTTTCCTAAAGTCTTTTCAAAAATGAAAAAGACTTCCCCAGCATTATTCAATATTTCAGAGGTCTACTGAACAGAGCAACCCAAATAAGCCACATCAAATTCTAATTATTTAAATTATTTTCCTTTTGCTGACACATATATTCATTGGCAAAACAACTGGTACTTTAAACAACACAGTTCTTTTAAGCAGTTTCAGTCAATGTCTAATCATCAGGCAGACTTCAAATTATTTTTTAGAATAGGAAAAAGTCTTACCTTGAATGATTGAGACAAATCTGAATGCTATCCTGTTCCGTAGTGACGCCAAATGTAGACTTGGAATTAAAGCCTCTTGTGTTTCCCCGTTATTATTCAATTTACAGGACCGGACACCAGTTATCTTGCCAAGAAAGTTTTATTATATATTATATATATGTCAGGAGAGAAACTTCAAGATGTTGTGTTCATGCCTGGTCTATGCGTTTCTCTGAGGCGGTACAATGTGACATTGAGTTTTATACATCACACAGTCTTACAGCTTCCTTGTAAGGTAACAAACATGTTGCTCTGAGCTTCCCAACTTAGAACGTATATGTCATACGTGCGCTACTTTCCTTGTTATGTACATCTGTGGTACACTTGCATCAGTGGAAACATTTATGCTGAGTGAACATGTTACATGGCACACATACCTCCCTGAGCAATATATAGCTTTCCCCTGACATATGTTCTTTCATGCATTCAAACTTGAAACTCCATAAGATAATACAGTGATTATGAAAACTAATAAAGAATAATAATAAAGATACATAATATTTAATAATGAAATAATATTAAAAGATGAAATTTTAGTCTTCAACATGAAGGACCCATTGAGAAATATCTGGCAGTAGTTTCCACGCTGCCATGAATTCCACTAAGGGGACCAGTCTCTCGAGACTGGCCTCGGGATTTTGTTGAACGGACATTTCGGTGCCCTGAAACGGCGAACCGGCAGGGAACAACCGAACTGACCATTCTACCACCCTCCTCGGAGGACCGTATGGGGACGCTGACGCCTCGGTGCCCTGAAACGGTGAACCGTCAGGGAACAACCGATGTGGCAGCGCTGCGATACTCCTCTGATTATCGCCCCCCAGAGGGTTGATGTCTGATTTCTCGAAACCATCCCTCCCCGGAGGGGACCACCCTCAGAAGTCTGACCCCCTGTGAGTCAGGACTTCTTCTTACTCCAGGCCTTCTTAGAGATGACAGTGACCTGGATTGTGACCGCCACTGAGGCTCCGAAGATTGTGGAGGAGCCCGGGCAGCCACGCTTTGCCTTTGGCGTGCTCTGTGTGAGGAGCTAGTACTCGGCTAGTACTCAGGAACATCAAAACGGCGAAGAAGAATTTTCTGAAACGCAGCTGACTGTTTTTTCTTGAAATCGATCGGCGACACAGTTGATAGCGTCGCCGAACAGACTTGATGGTGACATCGGTGCATCTAACAGAACAGATCTATCTTTTTCTTTTATTTCAGACAGATTCAACCATAGGTGGCGCTCCGTGGCCACCAGGGCTGCCATAGACCGGCCCACTGATTTGGCAGTCTCCTTAGTGGCACGGAGCGCTAGATCTGTTGCGCAACGCAATTCTCGAATTGTGTCAGCGCTCACTTCCTCGCGTTCATCAATTTCCCTTAGCAGATCAGCCTGGTATGCTTGCAGTATGGTCATTGTGTGCAAGCATGACGCAGCCTGACCTGCTGCCGAGTATGCTTTACCCACCAGAGAGGATGTAGATTTTAATGTTCTGGTGGGTAACGTCGGGGCTTTTAATGATGACGATGACTCGGGAGAGAGATAGCTTGCAAGCGTCTTTTCAGCCCAAGGCATCGCCGCATAACCATGATCAGCAGCACCTAATATGTTACTATAATTAGATGTCTGCGGGTTAAACACTCTAAATGAGACAGGTTTATTCCACGATCTCTCCACCTCAGTGTGGAGATCGGGACAGAATGGTAAACCCCGACGTGGAGGCAGTGTTTTAGATGACAAAAATCTTTCATCAAGTAAACTTTTCTTAGAAACACTTTCACCCACCCGTGATTGATATATATATATATAGATATATATAGTGTGCTTGACAGACAACAATAAATAGACATAGTACAGAGATCGCTTGCTGAAGGCAACAGAAGCTGTCGCAGTCTTATCCTAAAGGTGCTATATAGTTTCCTGGTCAATGACGTCACCTGACGTCCTACTCTCTCATTGGACTGATTGTACAGACGCTTCACAACGCAATCATGCAGAGCGTTCCCATTGCGTTAACCAATACAGCTCGAAGTTCCCTTGAAAAGGAACTGACATATTTCAGCCTTCAAATCATTTTTATAAAAAGAATGATACACGACACCTCAAGAGGGCTCGACAGTGACTCTGATGTCCCAGAGTCACCCCCCTCCGTCCCCCACTCAACTCAGCCCAGCTTACTGACCTCTGCATCCCTCCTGCTGCTGAGACCTAACCACAATCTCTCCGCAACCCAACCATACGCACCAACCCGTTTGACTTAGGCTGTGGAGCCCCACTGGTGTATCAGTGCCTTCAATATTGCACCTGAGTGTTTTGAAAACATTATCTATAAATATAAAACTGCATTTACAAGAAAAGCATTATGAATTTTGTGTACATTTGTTTTGTTGTATGAAGTTGTTTACTTGTGCTTAGTGTTTTGCTGTTTGCCGATACAATAGTGTTGGCATTGGTCTATCTTTCAGTAAAAGTTTCTTTGCAAACTCTGCATTAAATTGTGCCTGATCACAAACCCAAGTCTGTGAAATGATGAGAACAAACATAATCTTCCAACATGATGCTAGACATTGTTTAACAATAAACCATCAATTTGTTCCTAATGCTGGAGTCCTTCAGAAGGCTGTGTAGAACTTCCCTGACATCTTAATATTTAACTAGTTTAAAACTTAAAACCTAGTTTACACACCTGCTTGTCATCATCGTTGTCACCTGTGTCTTGTTTATCATCATCAGTTTCACCTGTCTTCACCTCGTTATTGTTCATCAGTTCCAATTCACAAAATTAACCAATTCACAAATTAACTGAATGCATAGCTGATATAAAAAATTGGATGATTAGTAATTTCCTACTACTAAATTCTGAAGAAACAGAGATTCTAATTATTGCACACAAAAAACTTCTACACGCAACTGCCTAGAATACTGTCTAACACTTGATGGCTGCTCTGTTAAGTCTTCGGTTAGGAACCTGGGTGTGCTCTTTGATACTAATCTCTCATTTGAAAGTCATGTGTCTAGTATTTGTAGAACCACATTTTTTCCATCTTAAAAATATATCTAAATTACGCCATATGCTCTCATTTACAAATGTGGAACAAATAGTTGATGCATTCATGACATCAAGGCTATATTATTGTAATGCTCTTCTGGGTGGGTTCTTACCAGAACGAGGAAGTATGACCATATTAGCCCGGTTCTGTCAACCCTGCATTGGCTGGCTATTAAACATTGTATAAATTTTAAAATATTGCTGATTACTTATAAAGCACTAAATGGTTTAGCTCCGCAGTACTTGAGCAAGCTATTAATGCATTATAGTCCTTCACGTCTATTGCAATCTCAAAACTCCGGCCAGTTGATAATACCTAGAATATCAAAATTGACTGCTGGTGGTAGATCGTTTTCCTATTTAGCACTAAAGCTACGGAACGCTCTTCCTAACATTGTCTGGGAAGCAGACACACTCTATCAGTTCAAATCTAGGCTAAAAGCACATCTCTTTGGCCTAGCATACACATAACACACAATAGACTTCCTAAATTCAAAATTAGGCTGCATAGTTTCGATCAGCCGGAACCGGAAACACGTCCCGTAAATCCTGATGCACTTGGTACATCAAAAGAAGGATGGTGTCTACACTAACACTATTTTCCATATTATTTGGGACCATAGAGGGACTCTATGGTGAACCTGCGCCTGGACCCATCCCGACTCATCCTCAAGTGCCGGCCTCATTGACACGACAGCCATCGGCACTGATCCTCAACATCTCGCCTCCAAACCGGTGTGATTACTCCGACATCCAAACAGATGGAAATGGATAAATTCTCTTAATTTTTCGATCCAATTTGTTTTGTAATCACTGTTCCTTCGTTGGCCAGAAGAGAACCAGCCCCCGACTGAGCCTGGTTTCTCCCAAGGGTTTTTTCTCCATTCAATCACCTGATGGAGTTTTGGTTCCTTGCCAATGTTGCCTTGGCTTTTGTCTTGCTTAGTTGGGGACATTTAATATTAAACAATTTTATTGATCTGTGTTATATTATTTTCATGTTATCACTGTGAAGCTGCTTTGATGCAATCTGTATTGTAAAAAGCGCTATATAAATAAATGTGACTTGACTTAAAAGTTCAGTTTGTCTTTGTCGGTCGTTGTTAATGTTTTGATGTGTTTTGTGGACCTTCTGCCCGTCTACCTGCCTGTACCAGTTTCTTTCAGTTTAAAATAGTAAATGTTTGAATTGAAGCTTTCTGTTCATTTACACTGACCTTAGGTATTATCTGACAAGAATCATTATTTGTCTCCTTTTGTCGTCTCTAACTGAATCTTGTTTATTCTTTCTTTAGATTTGTTGAACAAAATAAATCATCTGAATCATGGGAGAAAAGAAAGAGATTATTAAAACTGGATTTGTGTCTGCAAGCTGCTCTCCACCAGAAAGAGACAATAGAAGAAACTGTGAAGAAACTGTTGTCATCTGTGAATTATGAGAGATGTGATTTCCTGTTGGATCTGTGGTCACATGTGAAGGACTATGAGACTCAAACAGGCAGGAGTGTCCTTCCAGCATTACAGCCAGTTTATCAGTCAGCTCCTGCAGTCTGGATCATAAAGCTCTCAGAGAGAAAGATCTCCATCCTCCTAGAAGTGCTGAAACTGCAGACAGAGAAGAAACCAGTAGAGCTGATAGACTGGACAGATGAAGAGAGTGAAGTGAGGGGATTCCTCCAGTGTCTGCCCTACATCTCACAGCTCAGGTGAGTCTCATGGGGAAATACACTCATAGTTTGATTCAGTTTATTTTAATGTTGTCATTTAAATGCGTTAATAAATAATATAGTTCATTTAAATTAATTAGAAAAAACATTTATGTCAGATTCTGTAAACTTAATTTCTATTGTTTTAATGTAGCTGAAGATGTTAGCTGTAAGACTGTAAGACAGATCTGTTGTTTTGATTTTTAGTTCCCACTTTACATTCACTTGAGATGAACTGACTGCATTTACATTAATATTCAGCCAAAACACACTGAGAGCAGAAAAATGATGAAATCAACCTATTTTTTTTTTTTCATGATTGTGCACTTGAACAGATTTAAGGGGTCTTTACATGATGTATGTAATTATTTTAATATTTTCACTATTTTAAATACAGTCATATATTCAAAAATATAATTTTTAACCCTCATTTTGACCTTTTGTCACAAACACTTGGTTTGAGTGCTGTACATCTCCTTTAAGACTGGCCACTGTTATGATTGGCTAAGGTCATTTTATAGGAAAAAGTATCATTGCCTCCAATATTGCACATGGGTGTTTTGAAAACATTATCTATAAATATAAAACTGCATTTACAAGGAAAGCATTATGAATTTGTGTTTACATTTGTTTTGTTATGAAGTTGTTTACTTGCGCTTTGTGATTTGCTGTTTTCCAATCCAATATTGTTGGCATTGCTCATCTTTCAGTAAAAGTTTCTTTGCAAACTCTACATTAAATTGTGCCTGATCACAAACCCAAGCCTGTAGTGAAATGGTCAGAACAAACAATCTTCCAACATGATCCTAGACATTGTTTAATAATAAACCATCCATTCGTTCCTAATGCTGGAGTCCTTCAGAAGGTTGTGTAGAACTTCACTGACATCTTAATATTTGTAAAAATATATCAATAAATAAAAACTAGTTTAAACTTGCAGTAAGCTTCAGGTGCCTGTTAACATGAGTATCTCTATGGTCTTGGGTGACCTGCTCTCTCTTTCTTGTCATGCTGTTGTTCTTCCTCTTCTGGGCAGGTTAACAAAATGAAATGGTAAAGTAGGCGTTGATGTGTTGTTTTGGAGTTGGTCAGATGAAAATATCTACTATAGTCTAATGTCACAATGTGGAGGAAGTAGAAAACAAGTCATCTGGCAGCTTGATTTCAATTTATGTCGATTTTTGGGGGGTCTGAAGAGGGTTTTTTTTTTTCTATTGTACAATGACATCATGTATGTCAATCGATCAAAGATTTGATTCCTCATTCCATAAATGATTTATTGGTTAACAAACATAATACTGCTGGGGCTGATTCACCAGAGAAAAGAGGAAAGTTTGGCCCTGCTAATATCGACTTTGATAACTAGGAATGTGTGATTTTTATAGGAGTCTCAGCTAGGCAATACCTCTTCTGAAACGTGTTGGTCTTGTGTTCCCTATCGTAGTCACTTCGAGTTACGTCAGAAGTGACGGAGATTGGGGGTTTCGCATAGAAAGCCAATCCTCTTCGAGTATTAAAACACGAGCCAATGGCATGCAATGCCTTGGGGCTGCGGAAATTTGCATAGCGTACTCCGCCCTACTCCGTGAGTATAAAAGGAGGAAGTGAACGCAACCGCAGTATGTTTTCGCTTCGGAGCCAAGAGAACCTCTTCACTCCTCAAAGCTGATTCAAGACTCTTCGAGACGAGCGTCCTCTTCAGTGTTGGTGTGACGGCGGTACCCAGCGAGATTCTGCATTGCCTGCGATCTGTGCAGTGGTTTGCCAGACTTTGCGCTTCTCCCTGGTAGCCTCAGCGCTGAAAGAGTGAATTTCTCTCCTCTCTGTAAAAGAGCTGCACGCGGCACGTCTTTTTTAAAGATGGCTCGCCCGTGCCCTTCTGGATGTGGTAGATTTCTGTCGTCATCTGATGGTCACGAACGCTGCTTTGTTTGCTTGGGCATTCAGCATGCAGCAGCAGCGTTCGTGGGATGACTCATGTTCCTTCTGTGGGACCATGACCATCTCCACACTGAGGTCGCGGCTCAATGATCTCACTAGAGTGAGAGCCCCGGTCCCCCTACTCGATCGGCTTCCTTCACGAGAGGGGGCCCGTCGACCCGGGGACCGGGCGATCTAACGGTGACGGTGTGGGATAAAGCCCGACGATTCCTCGGGCCACACCTCCCGCCTCAGTGCGTGAGCCAGCGGGCGCTAGTTCGACTCGGTCGGTTGTCTCTTCGGCGGCACCGGCTGCTTCGAGCAGCGCCCCAGATGATGATGCGATGTCTATCACAGCATCACTAGGCGGGCTTGATTCCTCGGGAGAGGAAGATCCGGCTGCGTTGCCTCCTTCGGGAGTCCCAGCGTTGTCCGCGTCAGATCCCGAGATGACGGCCATGCTGTCTCGAGCCGCTGGGAGTATCGGGCTAGAATGGAAACCTCCATCCTGCCCCGACCTCTCACGGATGGATAATTGGTTTTTGGACAAGGCTGCCGCTGCAAAGCCACGGCCGACTCCAATACCTTTTTTCCCCGAGCTGCATGCGGAGTTATCGCGCTCTGGGGGGCTCCTTTGTCCACTCGAGAGCGCGATCTCTCCCCCGCCTTTCCCCCCCTCGACGGCGGGCCGCCCGTGGGTACACTGGGATGCCCCCGGTGGAGCGCTCTGTTGCGATGCAGCTGTGTCCACAGAGCGCCTCCACCGTGGTTCCTCCTAAGCACCCATCCAAAAGCCTGTGGGTTCTCGTCTGCTATGGCGGCGCGATCCTACAGAGCGGCGGGACAGGCGGCCTCCGCTCTGCATGCTATGACCACTTTGCAGGTCTTCCAAGCGAAGTTGCTCAGAGACATGCACGAGGGCGGGACTGACACGACGGCATTCAAAGAACTGCGGTCCGCCACTGACCTTGCTCTCCGGGCAACGAAAGTGGCTGCTCGCGCCGTTGGTCAGGTGATGGCCACTAGCGTGGTTCAGGAGCGTCATCTGTGGCTCAACCTGTCGGATACGCGGAGCGCTGAGCGGACTCGTCTGCTCGACGCTCCGCTGTCCCAGGTTGGCCTTTTCGGCGGTGCGGTCGAGGACTTCGCCCATCAGTTCTCCACCGCCCAGAAGCAGACGGAGGCCATCAAACACATCCTGCCCCGACGACCAGCTGCTGCCTCCACCCAGTCGTCGGCACAGGCGCCTCCCCCTGCTCGCCGCCGAGGACGCCCCCCTGCGGCTCCCCTCCCTCCCGCCCGGCCCCAGCAGCAGCCTTCACCCGGGCCCCGGCGTCGAGGAGGCCGCAGGCCGGCGTCACAGCCCTCAGGCCGCTCGCCCCGCTAAACGCCAGGCCAAGCGAAGATCCTGACACGGGCCGCTCAGTGACGATCTCGAGTCTTTCACAGGAGGCGGTAGCAGGCCCCCTCCTTCCCCCGGTGGAGGGCCGGGGGAGAATCTTTTGTTCTCAGCTCCCCGCTGCTCACCCACGGGTGGGCAGCACCCTGAACTGGTTAAAGAAAGACTTGACATCCTCACTGAGCTCACAGACTGGAGTGAGTGCCCCCGATGCCCCAGGGTGTCGGCCCACTCACTCCTCTCTGTCTCGGAGGGCGCGGAAGGGTGCGTGTGTCGTCCCCGGGCTACACCAATCCCTTCCCCCTCTCTCGCCAGACCCCCGCAGAACGGACCCCCGTGGAACGCTCCGCTTTCCCTGGTCCCTTCTGTCGGGGAGCGGGCTTCGACGCATCCGAGCGGGGTAACCCCTGCACGCGTGCCAGTCGACCCGCCACGCTGCCCCTCCGGGGGACGTCTGTGGTTCACATGACCCCGTTGGCTCACTTCCTGGAAGCCTGGCTAGCGCTTCCCGGGGTATCCCGCTGGGTCATCAGAACGATCAGATTCGGCTACGCGATTCAGTTCGCACGGTCTCCTCCCCGCTTCAGGGGAGTTCGCTCCACGATAGTCGGTGGCAATGCCCCAGTCCTGAGAGCGGAGATTGCGACCCTGCTGGCGAAGGGTGCAATCGAGACGGTCCCTCCAGCCGAGGTGAGGTCCGGGTTTTACAGCCCCTACTTCATTGTCCCCAAGAAGACCGGTGGGTTACGACCGATCCTGGACCTGCGCATTTTGAACCGTTCTCTCCATCGACTACCGTTCAAAATGCTCACGGCCAAACGCATTTTCGAATGTGTTCGGTATCAGGATTGGTTTGCAGCGATCGACCTGAAGGACGCGTACTTCCATGTGTCATCTTACCTCGACACAGACCGTTTCTTCGGTTTGCCTTCGAGGGCCAGGCATATCAGTACGCCGTTCTCCCATTCGGGTTAGCTCTGTCCCCTCGCGTCTTCACGAAGATCGTCGAGGCAGCCCTTGTTCCCCTTCGCGAACACGGGGTTCGCATCCTGAATTATCTCGACGACTGGCTGATACTAGCGCACTCTCGAGCTCAGCTTTGCGAACACAGAGACTTGGTGCTCCGGCACCTAGCCCGTCTGGGCCTTCGGGTCAACCGAGAAAAGAGCAAACTTTGCCCCGTGCAGAGGATCTCTTTTTCTCGGCGTGGAGATAGACTCGGTCGCCATGTCCGCGCAGCTCACGATCGAGCGCGCGCACTCACTGCTGACTTGTCTTCGTCAGTTCGAGGGCAAGAGTGCGGTTCCACTGAAACTTTTTCAGAGGCTCCTGGGGCATATGGCATCCGCGGCCGCGGCAACGCCGCTCGGTTTGCTTCATATGAGACCGCTTCAGCTGTGGCTTCGCGATCGAGTCCCGAGGTGGGCATGGCATCGCGGCTCGCTCCGAGTCCCAGTGACTCCGACATGCCGGCGAACCTTCTTCCCGTGGTCGAACCTCAGCTTTTTACGGACGGGCGTCCCTATTCAGCGAGTTTCCAGGCATCTCATCGTCTCCACGGATGCATCTACCACGGGTTGGGGTGCCATGTGCAATGGGCATGCAGCCGCCGGCTCCTGGACGGGGGCCCAGCGCCTCATGCACATCAATTGCCTCGAGCTGCTGGCAGTACGGCTCGCCCTGCACCGCTTCAGAGCGTTGCTCAAGGGCCAGCATGTGCTTGTCCGCTCAGACAACACTACGGCTGTAGCGTACATCAACCACCAGGGGGGTCTACGCTCGCGCCGGTTGTCGCAGCTCGCCCGCCACCTCTTGATATGGAGTCAGAAGCACCTGAGGTCCCTTCGTGCAGTTCACATTCCTGGAGACCGGAACTGGGCAGCCGACGAGCTGTCTCGGGTCCGCCCTATCTCCGGCGAGTGGCGACTCCATCCCCAGTCGGTCCAGCTGATCTGGAAAGAGTTCGGGGAGGCACAGATAGATCTGTTCGCCTCCCGGCACTCAGCCCACTGCGCCCAGTTTTATTCTCTGACCTGGGGCACTCTCGGTTCGGATGCGCTGGCGCACAGCTGGCCACGGGGCCCACGCAAGTATGCGTTTCCCCCAGTGAGCCTCCTTGCACGGGTGTTGTGCAAGATCAAGGAGGACGAGGAGCAGGTCTTGCTGGTAGCCCCCTACTGGCCCACCAAGACGTGGTTCTCCGATCTCATGCTCCTCGCGACAGCACCTCCTTGGCCTATTCCTCTGAGACAAGACCTACTCTCTCAGAGACGGGGCACTCTGTGGCACCCTCGTCCCGATCTCTGGAGGCTGCACGTGTGGCTCCTGGACGGGACGAGGCAGGTTTGAGTTCGCTGCCACCTGCGGTGGCGGCAACCATCACTTCCGCAAGAGCGTTGTCCACGAGACACCTTTATGCGTTGAAGTGGAACCTCTTCGTCAATTGGTGCTCTTCTCGCGGAGAAGACCCCCGGAGATGTTCGATCAGTGTCGTGCTTTCCTTCCTGCAAGAGGGGTTGGAGCGCAGGCTGTCGCCCTCCACCCTTAAGGTTTACGTCGCGGCCATTGCCGCTTCTCATGAAGCAGTGGAAGGTAAGTCCCTAGGGAAGCACGACCTGGTCATCAGGTTCCTGAGGGGAGCGAGGAGGCTGCATCCGCCTCGTCCTCCCCTCGTACCCTCTTGGGACCTCTCGGTAGTTTTAAGTGCTCTGCAGAGGCATCCCTTTGAGCCTTTGCAATCAGTAGAGTTAAAGTTTCTGTCCATGAAGACAGCACTCCTGGTTGCATTGGCCTCCATCAAGAGGGTGGGGGACCTGCACGCATTCTCCGTTGACGAAGCGTGCCTGGAGTTCGGGCCGGCTTACTCTCACGTGATCCTGAGACCCCGGCCTGGATATGTGCCAAGGTTCCCACCACTCCCTTCCGGGACCAGGTGGTGAACCTGCAAGCGCTGCCCCCGGAGGAGGCAGACCCAGCCTTGGCACTGCTCTGTCCGGTACGTGCTCTCCGCACCTATGTCGACAGAACGCAGTGTTTCAGGACCTCAGACCAGCTCTTTGTCTGTCATGGAGGGAGCCAGAAGGGAAGGGCTCTCTCAAAGCAACGGCTGTCCCACTGGATAGTGGATGCCATTGCTTTGTCTTACCAGCAGCAAGGCCTTCCGTGCCCCCTTGGTGTGACGGCCCATTCCACTCGGAGTGTAGCCTCCTCTTGGGCTTTAGCGCACGGCGCCTCGCTAACAGACATCTGCAGAGCTGCAGGCTGGGCGACACCCAACACCTTCGCCAGATTCTATAATCTGCGAATTGAGCCGGTATCCTCTCACGTACTCGTTTCGGCCAGTTCTGGATCCGCTCAGGTGTCTTCGCTTGCTCGCCACTCCACTCCCCGGACTGGATAAGTGCGATATTTCCTCAGTTCTTCCATTGAAGTCTTGAGTCCTCCAGCACCGACGATGCGGGCACCACTGCGTGGCTCTGGATGCTAGCTAGGTGCCTCCATGCGCACGGTTCCCATGGTAACCGTCTCATGTGTATTATCCACTGTAAGCCTCTCTGAGCATGTGTCTTCCCTTGGCAAGCCATCTGCCACCCCTGGAGTTTAAATCAGTAGCCACCTGCGGTTGGTACTCCAGTGTTCCATATGTGTCCCTATGTGGCCATATGTGTATTCTTAAGTCCTCCCTTCGGTAGGCAGCTGGTAGCATGTCCCCTTCGGGATATGTTTCCCAGTGTACCTTGGTAATCCTGTGTCAAAGTCGGATCCCCAAAAAAAAAAAAAAAAAAAAAAAAAAAGAGGTAAGGCTCGGGGGTTCAGTCTTTCGCAGGGCACTGGAAGACAGCTTGAAGATGGCGTGATGGCACAGACCCCCAATCTCCGTCACTTCTGACGTAACTCGAAGTGACTACGATAGGGAACGTCTCGGTTACGTATGTAACCCTCGTTCCCTGAGTAAGGGAACGGAGACGTTACGTCTCCCTGCCACTTCTGCTGTATCGCTGGGTAGAGGCCGAGTTCAGTCTTGGCTCCTCAGCGAAGACATACTGCGGTTGCGTTCACTTCCTCCTTTTATACTCACGGAGTAGGGCGGAGTACGCTATGCAAATTTCCGCAGCCCCAAGGCATTGCATGCCATTGGCTCGTGTTTTAATACTCGAAGAGGATTGGCTTTCTATGCGAAACCCCCAATCTCCGTCACTTCTGACGTAACGTCTCCGTTCCCTTACTCAGGGAACGAGGGTTACATACGTAACCGAGACGTTTTGGTGACGAACAACAGGAGCTGGCAACACATCTGTTTGTGATCAGCGGTTCTGTGTTTCCTGAGTTTATAATGTTTTCTTCCACACAGCGAGACTGACAACTGATATGTCAATATATTTCGGTTTCTAGATATCTGGGAAATAAATGGTATTGGTTGACAGTGTAAATGCAGCCAAAGTGTTTACTAATGCATCTGTAATGGTGGAGCAACCGTCTGTCTGACAAAGAGTTACATTAACAGCAACTGAATCTGTTAATTAATAATTTAGAGCTTGTGGTTTCAGGAAATGTTTTAAATTACTGTATTTGTTTCATTGTTTCACAGTTTATTTGCAGATATCCACTCTTTTTTTGTTTGAAAAATTTAATTGATTTCAACTAGTGAGATTCTATTTGCCATCATTTGATATTTTGCTACAAAAAATGCAAAGAGCAAAACTGAAAATTAAAGATTATAATACAAATATTTGTTCATCACTTTTCACTGTTCAATTACACTGACCCTAGGTATTGTCTGACAAACTGTTTGATTCATTTAAATAATCTTTATTTGTCTCCTTTGTCGTCTCTAACTGAATCTTGTTCATTCCTTCTTTAGATTTGTTGAACCACAGAATAACTCATCTGAATCATGGGAGAAAAGAAAGAGATCTTTCCTACTGGATTTGTGTCTGCAAGCTGTTCTCCACCAGGAAGAGACAATAGAAGAAACTGTGAAGAAACTGTTGTCGTCTGTGTATTATGAGAGATGTGATTTCCTGCTGGATCTGTGGTCACATGTGAAGGACTATGAGACTCAAACAGGCAGGAGTGTCCTTCCAGCATTACAGCCAGTTTATCAGTCAGCTCCTGCAGTCTGGAGAATAAATCTCTCAGAGAGAAAGATCTCCATCCTCCTAGAAGTGCTGAAACTGCAGACAGAGAAGAAACCAGTAGAGCTGATAGACTGGACAGATGAAGAGAGTGAAGTGAGGGGATTCCTCCAGTGTCTGCCCTACATCTCACAGCTCAGGTGAGACTCTCATGGGGAACACACCAATCATGCTGGATTATTGTATTCAGTGTTCACAATAAAATTAATGAATTTAATGTCCAGTGTATGTTAGGAAGACAATATATTTGTGAACATGAACCATAATTGAAAACACTGTTGCATAAACTTCACAGTCTTACAAGTTAGTCATTTAATTATTTTACACTAGACTGATCAAAACTGTTTTAAAGCAGTTACATAAAGAGGTATTGGTGTAATTTGAATCTGAAAAGTAAGTGTGATTCACTCTAACTAACTGCTAGTTGTTCAGTCAGTGTTGGGCAGTAACTAGATAGGCTAGTGATGCGTTACAGTCATATTACTTTCTCTGTTAGTAGTGTTACTAATAACATGATTTTTTTTTTTGTCACAGTTGCTAATAATTTGAAATTCAGAAATCCAATAATCACTATCAATTTTCATAATCGTTGTTGTGTGTGTGCGCTCATGACATCATCAACGCTGCAAGTCTTTGTCTGAAGACGGAGAAGAACGTTTATAAACTATATCATATAGCGGCTGAAATACAGACTTTATTTTATTTTTTCTATGTTGCTGCTTTATTAAATACCAGAAGGGGTTTAAAACAATCGTGGCTCATCATCAGTTTGAGACAGTTGTACTCTTCGTTTATTTGTAACTTTCATGGATTCACAGGCTGCAAAAATTATTCAATTACCAGTTATTCGGAGGTGTAATGGAAGAGTAATGTAACTAGTGTAATTAATTACTGTTGTCCGGGAGTAATAAGTACAGTAATAATATTATTTTTGTAAGGAGTAACTAGTAATGAGTAAATGATCCATGTTTTGAGTAACGAGCCCAACACTGTTCTCTCATGACACAGTTTTAACTAAGCGTCTCTGTTTATGATCTGGCCGCTGACAGTCGTGTTGTGAGTAAATCTGTTGTTCAAATCCTTCTCTCACTCTTGTTCAGTCTCTGTAGAGATTGATTTTGTTCATGTATTTCTATTATATCAGCTTCATGCAGCTCACAGTCTGTTTATATATGCGGATATAATGTACAGTGGGTTTCTGCATAGTCTATCTGAGCCTCTTCATTTTGCGCTCACACATGATCCCTTCATGGTCAAAAGTGACCAAAGCCTTGAAATGTAACTTTTTTTTCTTCAGGGAAATCAATGTAATATGTTTTTTTGTTTATTAATATTTTTTGATTATTATTTATAAATTTGAGGGGATTTTATGACACAATGCAATTTTTATTAAAAAAAAATATTATGAGCTATTTTTTCCATTAATTAATATGAATATATATATATATATATATATATATATATATATATATATATATATATATATATATAAATTTTCAGTAAATGCAAAAGCATTTTAAAAAAATGATGTTTAATGTAAGAATAGTGTCACCTGGAGGCGTTAAAAAACAAAAACGTGTGATGTCATGGTGTAACCACCTCTCCCTATATAAATATATGGCTTTTGGATTCTCTCCAATTTATGTTTTATAAACACATTGTGTGTGTGTGTGTGTGTGTGTGTGCGTGTGTGTGTGTGTGTGTGTGTGTGATATTACTGATTGACTATTCTAGATTAAGTGTTTACTGTCAAATCAGAAAATCAACAGTGTAGAAACTGTGTCTGACGCAGGTTTATCTTCATATCAACTCAATATATGTGCCAATTACATGTTCTGGAAATTAAAGGTTTGAGGAAATGATTTCAGTTACTCAGACTTTTTTTTTTTTTTTTTTTTTTTTTTTTTAAGATTCTGAAAAATAAAAGCAATATAGAAATTCTTTTATTTACTAAATATTTAATATAGGATTATATTTATAACACACCACTCTAAAACCAACCAGCCTCTACAACTGAAATATAAACTGAATGAATAGTTAAATCCCAATGTTCATATATATTTTTATATTAATTAATAATTCAATGAGTCATGTTTTTCAATATTATATTCTCCTACACACAATAAAGTGATTATTATGTTTGTGTCTCCACAGATTTTCTGGCATTAGCGACGGGAAGAGAGAAACTGCTGTAAAGTTTCTGCTGAATCTGTTTGTTTCAGCATCAGAGTTTGATGCAAATACAGAAGAAAATTACACTGAACTATTAACATCTGTGTGCAGTTACACATCTTTCCCCTGTGATGAGAATAATTGTCATACCTGGATTCAGTGTGATTTCCTGCTGGATCTGTGTTCACATGTGAAGGACTATGAGACTCAAACAGGCAGGAGTGTCCTTCCAGCATTACAGTCAGTTTATCAGTCAGCTCCTGCAGTCTGGATAATAAAGCTCTCAGAGAGAAAGATCTCCATCCTCCTAGAAGTGCTGAAACTGCAGACAGAGAAGAAACCAGTAGAGCTGATAGACTGGACAGATGAAGAGAGTGAAGTGAGGGGATTCCTCCAGTGTCTGCCCTACATCTCACAGCTCAGGTGAGACTCTCATGAGGAACACACCAATCATGCTGGATTATTGTATTCAGAGCTCACAATAAAATTAATGAATTTAATGTACAGTGTATGTTAGGAAGACAATAATATCTGAATGTGAACCAGAATTGAAAACACTGTTGCATAAACTTCACAGTCTTACATGTTAGTCATCTAATTATTTTATACAAGACTGATCATAACTGTTTTAAATCAGTTTCATAAAGAGGTATTGGTGTAATTTGAATCTGAAAAGTAAGTGTGATTCACTCTAACTAACTGCTAGTTGTTCAGTCAGTGTTGGCCAGTAACTACTGTAGATAGGCTAGTAATGCGTTTCATTAATATTACTTTCTCTGTTAGTAGTGTAACCAATAACATTTATTTTCTTGTCACAGTTGCTAATAATTTGAAATTCAGAAATTCAATCATCTCTATCAATTTTCATAATCGCTGTGTGTGTGTGTGTGTGTGTGTGTGTGTGCACTCATGACATCATCAACGCTGCAAGTCTTTGTCTGAAGACGGAGAAGAACGTTTATAAACTATATCATATAGCGGCTGAAAATACAGACTTTATTTTATTTTTTCTATGTTGCTGCTTTATTAAATACCAGAAGGGGTTTAAACAAATCATGGCTCATCATCAGTTTGAGACAGTTGTACTCTTCGTTTATTTGTAACTTTCATGGATTCACAGGCTGCAAAAATTATTCAATTACCAGTTATTCGGAGGTGTAATGGAAGAGTAATGTAACTAGTGTAATTAATTTCTGTTGTCTGGGAGTAATAAGTACAGTAATAATATTATTTTTGTAAGGAGTAACTAGTAATGAGTAAATGATCCATGTTTTGAGTAACGAGCCCAACACTGTTCTCTCATGACACAGTTTTAACTAAGCGTCTCTGTTTATGATCTGGCCGCTGACAGTCGTGTTGTGAGTAAATCTGTTGTTCAAATCCTTCTCTCACTCTTGTTCAGTCTCTGTAGAGATTGATTTTCTTCATGTATTTCTATTATATCAGCTTCATGCAGCTCACAGTCCGTTTATATATGCGGTTATAATATAGGTACAATGGTTTTTTGCATAGTCGAGCTAAAATGGCAGAAGTTCGCATTAAAGGCAGAACGAGGATTAACTTTGGGCCAGTGTTTTCTGACGTGAGCTGAAGGAGGAGGATGGGGGGGCCGACCGATGCGTACTTGGCTGTCATGTTTTTGGGCTAGTAAGTACGTTATGTTGCTTGTATACTATCTCTTTGTTTTTGTTTTTTTGTCTGCCTTACTATGTTACGGAAGCTATCTTATCCTCCGTTTATCTTCAAAATAAAGTTAACTGGTCTTTTAACTTCTAAACGGCGTGTACAAGTTTGGTAGGGGCTACATTCTTACAAGTAAATATATAAGATGTACAAAATCATATTTTAGGATACCTAACATGCCTGTGATATTCGTTTATTTTATTGCCTCAAGCTATAATGCAAATCAATTTTTTAAAATTTGCAGATTAATTTATGGTAGCTTGAAATTATAATATTGATGATATATGGTTATTATCTACCACTCAAACATTGCATTGAAGCATCATATAGATTCAGTTAAACGGTAACTAATAGACTAGGCCAGTGTTTCCCAACCCTGTTCCTGGCGGCACACCAACACTGCGTGTATTCTTTGTAACCCTTATCAAACACACCTGACTCAACCCATCAGCTCATTAACCCACCTGATTATGAGCTGATGAGTTGAATCTGGTGTGTTTGATTAGGGAGACAAAGAAAACACGCAGTGTTGGTGTGCCGCCAGGAACAGGGTTGGGAAACACTGGACTAGGCTACTATAATGACGCTGGCTTGTAAGCTTGAGCATCGCGATCATTTGTCGTTAGAAAAAAAAAACCCATGAAATGATATTCATATTACATGCTGAAATATATGCCACTGTACCTGGGATGAAGACATTTCACACGCGACGCAAGCAGAACACCCGCATGTGACATCCTCCGACCTACAGTGTTCAGGGCTATCAAGGTGGTCAACAAATGCGCGTGCATGTACTGCAGGATGACAGAGTTTACGACAGTAGTAGAGGACAATACTGTTTCCCAACTGTAGGGGCACCCCCGAGAGCAAAAACTCCCTGGTGTTACTTTAAAATACATATTACAGTGAGAATAGTGTCACCTGAAGGCATTAAAACACAAAAATGTGTGATGTCATGGTGTAACCAGCTATATACATATATAGAGAGGCTTTTTGAAATTCTTTATAGTTAGTTTTATAAATAAATACTGTATACGTTGTGTGTGAGAGAGTCTTTTTTTATTATTTGATTGATTTATTTCACATATTCTCAATCTGCTCTGTTGCAGTCTAACCAGTTCTTTGTGCGTCTAACCATTTCTTTGTGCGTCTATGTTTGTGTGTGTGTGTGTGTGTGTGTGCGTGTGTGTGTGTGTGTGTGTGTGTGTGTGTGTGCGCGCATCTATTTTTGTGTTTGCGTGTGTATAAGCTCAGGTGATACTCTGGTGGTAAAAAAAGGCCACCATGCTTGTTTTATTGTATTCATTGCTCACAATAGAATTAATGTAATGCGTATTAAACAATATGGATGCAAACATAAACCAGAATTGAATTGTATGTCACCGTAAAATAAGAAAACACTACATTGACGTGTGGTTTTGCATATTCAAGCTACAATCTTCATATCTCTATCCAAATAAAACTGACACAATACATAGTCAAATATTTATAGAATTAAATACACAAAGTTCATTACCTCTGTCTTTCAGAGAATGTGCACAATGATGAAGCCAATAATAGTGTGATTACTGTAACAAATATAGCCTACATGCTGGATGAAAAAAACTACGTCTACTACAGATGATGACGAAACAGCACAGGACTGTAGACACTAGGAGAATAAATAGGGAGAACAAACAAAGGAGGTAACGGGGGAGAATTATTAAATTAAATCAATCAGGTTACGAGGAAGGACAGGTGGGGCAAATTGATCAATCAGGTAACTTTAATCAATCAGAGAAATTTGCCCTGGGCCCACAGGAGGACCTGGTGCACCAGTCTGCATAGAGGGCGTGATCTCAGCCCCCCTGTTGATTTAAATAGGAGACCACTGACGTATTGTCTGTCCGTACCAGAACATGATGGTCTCTGAGGTCTGGAAGAAAGTGCTTGAGAGCCAGAATTACCACCAACATCTCCAGGCAGTTGATGTGCCAAGATAGATGGTGGTCCTTTCAAGGACCCCTGGTGTATCGGCCTTCCATAACCGCAGCCCAGCCTGTTAGGGAAGCATCCGTGGTCACAATTTTTCGCTGACAAGGTGCCCCCAACACAGGATAGGGACAGGAACCAAGGTTTCTTCCACTATATATGATTTTATGTATCAAAGACACATTTGAGTGTTTTATTAGATTATCAAGACTAAGTAGCCTAAATCATATTTGACCAGCATATGACAGTGTAATGACGTGTCTTTTTATCATGAATCTTGAGGCAGTTTTTATACAGAGAATCTATGGGTTTTATGAGATCAGGATGTAATGCAGTACAAAAGGTGGGAAAGGATCATTGCATTTAAATATGTACTGGATGTAGCAGTGGTGAGAGAGTTTCTTTTGTATCTGAAATCTATTAAATACAATTTCAATTTATTGCACAAATTTTTAACATGACCTTTAAAGCTAAGTGTCGAATCTAGAGTTACCGCCAGATATTTAAATGTCTGTAATAATGATATTCAGCAGACAAGCACAGTCTAAGAACTGTCTGTCTGACGCAGTTGTACCTTCATAATAACTGATTCAATGGCTTAAATAAATTTGAAAGAATGTGAAAGAAATTAATTACATAATTTGAATGTTTTTTTTTTTGTTTTTTTTTTTGTTTTTGTTTTTGTTTGTTTGTTTTTTCATTTTGTTAAGTGTCACCATTATGTTCAGTTTGTTTTGTTCCTGGACTTTTAGTTTGTAATCTTTCAGTTCCTGGTTTCCCTTTGTTTAGATTCTCGCCACTAGTTAGTTTCTATGGTTACTGTCATTAGTTAGTTTAGTTCATATGTTCACCTCATTATCGTTTGTATATTAGTTCATGTCTGTTACCTTTGAGTTTGTCTGGTCACCGTTATACTTATGTGTGTTACACTACTGTCTGTTTGGATCAGTAATCTTTGTGTCGGATCTTTATTCTTCTGTGTGTTTGTCTACCTGCACACACACACATGACAGTCAGTTTCATTTTTAGAAACCTGAGTCACAAAATGAATTCCCAGAAAAGCTTGATTCTTAAAATACATGTATAATTGTATTTGAAAGACCGGTACACACTTTCTATTCAGCCATAAAACAACAGAAGATGGGAAAACAAATAATTTATATGGTGGATCACATACAGGATTTTATTTTATCCAGATCTGGATATTAACATTCTCATTTTGTTTGTTTCCACAGAATTGATGAAGATGCTTTAGAGATGAACGAATCTGCTGCCCAGTTTCTGCTGAGTCTGACTGTTGCAGCTTCAACATGTGTTACAACTACAGGAGAGAATTACATTGAGCTTTTAACATCTGTGTGCAGCTACAGATCATTTCTCTGTTATGATGATTATGATGATGATGATGATTATGAGCATCAGGTTGATCAGTGTGATTTCCTGCTGGATCTGTGTTCACATGTGAAGGACTATGAGACTCAAACAGGCAGGAGTGTCCTTCCAGCATTACAGTCAGTTTATCAGTCAGCTCCTGCAGTCTGGAGAATAAATCTCTCAGAGAGAAAGATCTCCATCCTCCTAGAAGTGCTGAAACTGCAGACAGAGAAGAAACCAGTAGAGCTGATAGACTGGACAGATGAAGAGAGTGAAGTGAGGGGATTCCTCCAGTGTCTGCCCTACATCTCACAGCTCAGGTGAGACTCTCATGGGGAAATACTCTCATAGTTTGATTCAGTTTATTTAAATATTGTCAATGTTGTCAAAAACATTTATGTCAGATTCTCTAAGCTTAATTTCTATTGTTTTAATCTAGCTGAAGATTTTAACTGTAAGACGGATCTGTTGTTTTAATTTTTAGACTGCATTTACATTAATTTTGAGCCAAAACACACTGGCCCTCATTTATCAATCTTGTGTAGAAACGGGTGTATATGTTGGCGTAATATTATGCTTACACTCCTCTCACCACCTGATTTATGAAGATGTGCGTACCTTTGAAATCCAGGTGTACGCAATGCCTGCCCTTGATAAATCCCGCGGCCAAAAACGATCGTCATTAGAATAACACGCCCCTAAATATTCAAATCTCCGCTCCCCCCACGCCCCCATTTTACGCCATGGACACACGGAAGACGGCAAAGAAGAGAAAGTTCTCTGACGTGTGCCGAAATGACCTATCACAACGCATTATTTTACAGCACGTCTTTTGAAATAGCATTCAATTTAGAATCACTTCACGTGTATTGGGGTTTACAATAGTGATGATGATGGTGTGATGTGGAGTACCATTCATTAACATTAATAATTGCATGACAATTTGCAATATTCTTCTTCTTAATATTATGATTTGTATTATTAATGGCGCTTGTTATTTAGAAGAAGAATGTCGTTATTATTATTATTTGTATTATAATTTTATGTAAAAGAAGAGGAATGTATTTTTTATTATTTTGTCAGTCTGAATTATTTTTTGGTCATTGAAAGCCTTTCATTACCGAACCCAGTCCGTGCGCACCTGCCGGGGCTTACCCTGAAACGTAAAGTACCTTACCCAGGGTAAAGTCCACAGGCTCGCAACTGAAGGAATGCTACAAATCAAATGCCTTGGTAAAGTCTCATAAATTAAACATTGAAGTCCATCTTGCACAAAAATAAAAACTGAAGTTTATAATTACTATGTTGTTTTTACACTGGTTCATAATATATCATATATTTTAGTTTGCCAGTGGGTTTTGTGGTGTTAGGAATTTATCTGCGCATTTCCGCTCTAACTCAAAACGTGCGTACACCACCTCCTGAGCTGGTGTAGGATTTGAGCGTTCCGTACGCCAACGTCCATATTGATAAATCTCAAAGTCACCGTGGTTTTGGGTGTACGCTGGAAATTTGGTGTACGCACTTTTGATAAATGAGGGCCACTGAGAGCAAAGAAGTGACGAAATCAACCTATTTTATCATGACCGTGCACTTGAACAGATGTAAGGGGTCTTTATGTGTTGTTTGTAATTATTTTAATATTTTCACTATTTTAAATATGGTCATATATTCAAAAATATTATTTTCAACCCTCATTTTGACCTTTTGTCACAAACACTTGGTTTGAGTGCTATACATCTCCTTTAAGACTGGCCACTGTTATGATTGGCTAAAGTCATTTTATAGGAAAAAGTATCAGTGCCTCCAATATTGCACATGGGTGTTTTGAAAACATTATCTATAAATATAAAACTGCATTTACAAGGAAAGCATTATGAATTTGTGTTTACATTTGTTTTGTTATGAAGTTGTTTACTTGCGCTTTGTGATTTGCTGTTTTCCGATACAATAGAGTTGGCATTGCTCATCTTTCAATAAACATTTCTTTGCAAACTCTACATTAAATTGTGCCTGATCACAAACCCAAGTCTGTAGTGAAATGGGCAGAACAAACATAATCTTCCAACATGATCCTAGACATTGTTTAATAATAATTAATAATAAACCATTAATAATAAACCATCCATTCGTTCCTAATGCTGGAGTCCTTCAGAAGCCTGTGTAGAACTTCACTGACATCTTAATATTTGTAAAAAATAAATAAATAAATAAAAACTAGTTTAAACTTGCAGTAAGCTTCAGGTGCCTGTTAACATGAGTAGCTCTATGGTCTTGGGTGACCTGCTCTCTCTTTCTTGTCAAGTCATTGTTCTTCCTCTGCTGGGCAGGTTATCAAAATGAAATGGTAAAGTAGGTGTTGATGTGTTGTTGTGGAGTTGGTCAGATGAAAATATCTACTATAGTCTAATGTCACAGTGTGGACGAAGTAGAAAACAAGTCATCTGGCAGCTTGATTTCAGTTTATGCCGATTTTTGGGGGTCTGAAGAGTAATTTTTTTTCCATTGTACAATGACAACATGTATGTCAAACGATCAAAGATTTGATTCCTCATTCCATAAATACTATTGGTTAACAAACATAATACTGCTGTGGCTGATTCACCAGAGAAAAGGGGAAAGTTTGGCCCTACTAATATCGACTTTGGTAACTAGGAATGTATGTTTTAGACAAGAAGTCTCAGCTGGCAATACCTCTACTGAAACGTGTTGGTCTTGTGTTTTGGTGACTAACAACAGGAGCTGGCAACACATCTGTTTGTGATCAGCGGTTCTGTGTTTCCTGCGTTTATAATGTTTTCTTCCACACAGCGAGACTGACAACTGATATGTCAATATATTTCGGTTTCTAGATATCTGGGGAATAAATGGTATTGGTTGACAGTGTAAATGCAGCCAAAATGTTACTAATGCATCTGTAATGGTGGAGCAACCGTCTGTCTGACAAAGAGTTACATTAACAGCAACTGAATCTGTTAATTAATAATTTAGAGCTTCTGGTTTCAGGAAATGTTTTAAATTACTGTATTTGTTTCATTGTTTCACAGTTTATTTGCAGATATGCACTCTTTTTTTGTTTGAAAAATGTAATTGATTTCAATAGTGTGGTTCTGTTTGCCAATAATCATTTGATATTTTGCTACAAAAAAATTCAAAGAGCAAAACTGAAAACTAAAGATAATAATAAAAATATTTGTTCATCACTTTTCCCTGTTCAATTACACTGACCTTAGGTATTGTCTGACAAACTGTTTAATTAATTTAAATAATCTTTATTTGTCTCCTTTGTCATCTCTAACTAAATCTTGTTTATTCTTTCTTTAGATTTGTTGAACCACAGAATAACTCATCTGAATCATGGGAGAAAAGAAAGAGATCTTTCATACTGGATTTGTGTCTGCAAGCTGTTCTCCACCAGAAAGAGACAATAGAAGAAACTGTGAAGAAACTGTTGTCATCTGTGTATTATGAGAGATGTGATTTCCTGCTGGATCTGTGGTCACATGTGAAGGACTATGAGACTCAAACAGGCAGGAGTGTCCTTCCAGCATTACAGCCAGTTTATCAGTCAGCTCCTGCAGTCTGGATCATAAAGCTCTCAGAGAGAAAGATCTCCATCCTCCTAGAAGTGCTGAAACTGCAGACAGAGAAGAAACCAGTAGATCTGAGAGACTGGACAGATGAAGAGAGTGAAGTGAGGGGATTCCTCCAGTGTCTGCCCTACATCTCACAGCTCAGGTGAGAGTCTCATGATGAACACACCAACCATGCTGGATTATTGTATTTGTTTATTTGTTTATTTTTAAGATCCCATTTGCTGAAGTCTGTGCAATCAGCAAATCTTCCTGGGGTCCATTACAAGCACAATTAACCATCACAATCAACACATATACACATTTCATATATGCACATACATACACAAACACACACTCATACATATATACAAACTAGTATCAATTCATAAAAAAAATGAATAAGTAAACACAAATACCATCTTATTTACAATTACCTTAATCGATATAAGAACCTACATCAACACATAACATCTTAGACTTATTTTAAATGACAGCTTATTACAAAACTGATATTAAATGTTATTCCAGATGACTACAGCTTTATACAGGACGGTTTTCTTCATAAAATTAGTTTTTGGATGGGGGACCATTATATGACCATTATTTGTCTTTCTGGTGTTATGATTTTGCACAGAATTACAATATACTAGTTGATTAAACAGAGAAATAGGCATTTCCATCATCAATGTGTTATGTATCATAGTGTTTAAAGTTACTGTTATTCTTTGGTTTAACGTGAGCCATGAAAGAGTAGAATACATCTGATCTGGACTTGTTGTAATTGAGCAGCCCAGAACAAGTCTTGATGCTTTATTTTGCGCAACCTGAATTTTTGTCAAGTCCGTTTTAATTGCAGAAAACCACACCTCAGTGCAGTATGATAAGTGACACAATATTAATGACTCTGTTACTATTTTTAAAGTTTTCCAATTCACAAAATGACAACATTTTTTAGTTAATGCAGTGCCGCATCCTATTCTGTTAACAATAGTATTTATGTGTTCTGTCCAAGAAAGACTACTATCAATAACCAAACCCAACAGTTTGGCCTTTTCTACTCGTTGTATTCTTTGCTCGGCTATATACTTTTATTCTGATCTAAGCATCAAATTTTGTATACAGAGCTCACAATAAAATGTATACATTTAATGTTCAGTGTATGTTAGGAAGACAATATATTTGTGAACGTGAACCAGAATTGAAAACACTGTTGCATAAACTTCACAGTCTTACAAGTTAGTCATCTAATTATTTTACACAAGACTGATCAAAACTGTTTTAAATCAGTTACATAAAGAGGTATTGGTGTAATTTGAATCTGAAAAGTAAGTGTGATTTGCCCTAACTAACTGCTAGTTGTTCAGTCAGTGTTGGCCAGTAACTAGATAGGCTAGTAATGCGTTACAGTAATATTACTTTCTCTGGTAACTAGTAGTGTAACTAATAACATTTATTTATTTTCACAGTTGCTAATAATTTGAAATTTAGAAATCCAATCATCCCTATCAATTTTCATAATCGCTGTGTGTGTGTGCGCTCATGACATCATCAACACAGCAAGTCTTTGTCTGAAGACGGAGAAGAACGTTTATAAACTATATCATATAGCGGCTGAAAATACAGCTTTTATTTTATTTTTTCTATGTTGCTGCTTTATTAAATAACAGAAGGGGTTTAAAACAATCGTGGCTCGTCATCAGTTTGAGACAGTTGTACTCTTCGTTTATTTGTAACTTTCATGGATTCACAGGCTGCAAAAATTATTCAATTATCAATTATTTGGATTTTGGATTAGGTGTAATGGAAGAGTAATGTAACTAGTGTAATTAATTACTGTTCTCTGGGAGTAATAATATTATTTTTGTAAGGAGTAACTAGTAATGAGTAAATGATCCATGTTTTGAGTAACGAGCCCAACACTGTTCTCTCATGACACAGTTTTAACTAAGCGTCTCTGTTTATGATCTGGCCGCTGACAGTCGTGTTGTGAGTAAATCTGTTGTTCAAATCCTTCTCTCACTCTTGTTCAGTCTCTGTAGAGATTGATTTTATTCATGTATTTCTATTATATCAGCTTCATGCATATATATGCGGTTATAATCGAGCTACAGTGGGTTACTGCATAGTCGATCTTAAAGGGTTAGTTCACCCAAAAATGAAAATTATGTCATTAATGACTCACCCTTATGTTGTTCCAAGCCCGTAAGTTCATCTTCGAAACACAGTTTAAGATATTTTAGATTTAGTCGGCGAGCTTTCTGTTCCTCCATTGAAAATGTATGTACCTTATACTGTCCATGTCCATAGAGGCAATAAAGACATCATCAAAGTAGTCCATGTGACATGAGTGGGTTAGTTCGATTTTTTTTGAAGCATCGAAAATATGAACTGAACAGATCATGTCTGTTCTGTTTGAGTTTGTCCAGTTTGTCTGGGAAAACAAATAATTTATATGGTGGATCACATACAGGATTTTATTTTATCCAGATCTGGATATTAACATTCTCATTTTGTTTGTTTCCACAGAATTGATGAAGATGCTTTAGAGATGAACGAATCTGCTGCCCAGTTTCTGCTGAATCTGACTGTTGCAGCTTCAACATGTGTTACAACTACAGGAGAGAATTACATTGAGCTTTTAACATCTGTGTGCAGCTACAGATCATTTATCCGTTATGATGATGATGATGATTGGCTTTATAATGAGGACTGTCAGGTTGAACACTCTAATTTCCTGCTGGATCTGTGGTCACATGTGAAGGACTATGAGACTCAAACAGGCAGGAGTGTCCTTCCAGCATTACAGTCAGTTTATCAGTCAGCTCCTGCAGTCTGGATAATAAAGCTCTCAGAGAGAAAGATCTCCATCCTCCTAGAAGTGCTGAAACTGCAGACAGAGAAGAAACCAGTAGATCTGATAGACTGGACAGATGAAGAGAGTGAAGTGAGGGGATTCCTCCAGTGTCTGCCCTACATCTCACAGCTCAGGTGAGACTCTCATGGGGAAAATACACCAATCATGCTGGATTATTGTATTCAGTGCTCACAATAAAATTAATGAATTGAATATGGAGTATAGAGTGTATATATATATATATATATATGGGCAACGATTAATCACGATTAATCACATCCAAAATAAATGTTTGTGTTTACATAAAATATGTGTACAATAATACAATGCAATTTTTATTAAAAAAAAATGATGAGCTATTATTTATAGATTTTTTTTTAATTAAAGGTGCTAAATGTAACTTTTTTTCTAAAATGAATCTCTTTTTTTATCTCTTTTTTATTGCCTGTGTGTTAAGGGGTTGTAATCACACATTACAATGATCCTCTTGTCGGGTTTTGCTATTACCTCTGAAGGCCATATTCTTAGTCTCTGAGTCGGATGTGATGTGCACGCGTGCTCCCGAGCCTCTCTCCTTATAAATACAGTCTATGCGACGGCACTGCGGCGAACGACATGAGTCTGATAACACCAACACACTCCTGCCTCCAGCAGAACACACACTCAAACACAAACTCCACAAAAATATAAAAAACAAAACGAAACAAAAATCTCAGTTTCTTCTGAAGCTCGTCAGGCCAAACGTGAATTGCATCGACTTTGGACGAAAACACGGATCAACATCAGCAGAGCGTCTGAATTATGGAGAGACCTTCGCTATTTTTATTGTGATGATAAATCACAAGTTTTCAGATATGCTGAAATAGTTAACTGTAATGAAATAGCAGAGTAAACTACAACATACATGAGACATGAAATAAATACAAAAGACTGTTCCAGAATAACAAAAAGTAGGTGCTTTAGGATGGAACTTTTATTTTATGTTTTATTTTACTTTTGCCGTTGGCTTGCTCAGTTGGGGATATTCAAATTAAATGACCCATCATACCATTGATCAGCTCTACCAAACTTGATTGTCTTTTTTTCCATGAATAAACAAACACTGTTTAGTTGTCTTGATTGATACTGAAGCAGCTTTGATACAATCTGTATTGTGAAAAGCGCTATATAAATATATTTGACTTGACTTGACTTTATGTTCTAGATCTCATGTCTAACGTCACTCATCCCACTACTACCATATTGTTTATAATACACATTTCCAGACACGTTCAGTACAGTCATGTTACTTCCTACGATCTTACTGTTACACTGAGATGAGCATGGAGCGTTACTGTAGTTCAACGTCAAGCTGATAACAGTATCCTATTATTAATGGTGCAGTGGGAGTTTACATGAGTTTCCAGCATGTTGTGTGATGCTTTCTCCGGTGTGTTGAAAGTCTCAGTGTGGTCGTGTACTGTGAGTGCTGCTCGCTCTTGTGTAAGAGTACGAGCGCTCTCGTAAAAATTGGTTGCAATCTGAAACATCCCCGATAGAGGCCGCTAAAAAATACATAGAGCACCTTTAATTTTCAGTAAATGCAATTGAAAGCCTTTTAAAAAAATGTTTAACGTGAGAATAGTGTCACCTGGAGCCGTTAAAAAACAAAAACATGTGATGTCATGGTATAACCATCTCTCCCTGGAGGCTTTTGGATTCTCTACAATTTATGTTTTATAAACACATTGTGTGTGTGTGTGTGTGTGTGTGTGTGTGTGTGTGTGAGAGAGACTCTTTTGTATTTTATTTATTTATTTCAAATATTCTCAAAATCTGCTGATGCAGTCTTATCAGTTCATTTCTGTTTTTGTGTGTGTGTGTGTGTGTGTGTGATATTACTGATTGGCTGTAATGTGTCTGTAATGTTTTGTTTAGTAATATTTGTAGATTATTATTTAGAATTTTAAGGGGATTTTATGATACAATGCAATATTTTTTTAATTAATTTTCAGTAATTGCAAAAAAATGTTTAATGTGAGAATAGTGTCACCTGGAGGCGTTAAAAAACAAAAATGTGTGATGTCATGGTGTAACTAGCTCTTAATTTCTATCTTTGTGTGTGTGTGTGTGTGTGTGTGTGTGTGTGTGTGTGTGCGTGCGTGTGTGTGATATTGCTGATTGACTATTCTAGATTAAGTGTTTACTGTCAGAAAATCAACAGTGTAGAAACTGTGTCTGACGCAGGTTTATCTTCATATCAACTCAAATGTGCCAATTACATGTTCTGGAAATTAAAGGTTTGAGGAAATTAATTAAGTAACTCAAACTTTGTTTTTTGTTTTTTTGTTTTTTGATTCCGAAAGATGTACTTTTTATTTACTAAATATTTAATTTAGGATTATGTTTATATCACACCACTCAATAGCCACTAACTGAAATATAAACTGATAATAGTTAATAGATCATTAATAGTTGAATCTGAATGTTCATATATATTTGTATATTAATTAATAATTCAATGAGTCACGTTTTTCAATATTATATATTCTCCTACACACAATAAAGTGATAATTATGTGTGTCTCCACAGATTTTCTGGTATTATCGACGGGAAGAGAGAAACTGCTGTAAAGTTTCTGCTGAATCTGTTTGTTTCAGCATCAGAGTTTGATGCAAATACAGAAGAAAATCACACTGAACTATTAACATCTGTGTGCAGTTACACATCTTTCCCCTTTGATGAGAATTATTATGAAGAAACTGAGGATACAATTTATCAGTGTGATTTCCTGCTGGATCTGTGGTCACATGTGAAGGACTATGAGACTCAAACAGGCAGGAGTGTCCTTCCAGCATTACAGTCAGTTTATCAGTCAGCTCCTGCAGTCTGGATCATAAAGCTCTCAGAGAGAAAGATCTCCATCCTCCTAGAAGTGCTGAAACTGCAGACAGAGAAGAAACCAGTAGATCTGATAGACTGGACAGATGAAGAGAGTGAAGTGAGGGGATTCCTCCAGTGTCTGCCCTACATCTCACAGCTCAGGTGAGACTCTCATGATGAACACACCAACCATGCTGGATTATTGTATTTGTTTATTTATTTATTTTTAGGATCCCATTTGCTGAAAGTCTGCGCAATCAGCTAATCTTCCTGGGGTCCATTACAAGCACAATTAACCATCACAATCAACACATATACACATTTCATATATGCACATACATACACAAACACACACTCATACATATATACAATCTAGTATCAATTCATAAAAAAATTAATAAGTAAACACAAATACCATCTTATTTACAATTACCTTAATCAATATAAGAACCTACATCAACACATAACATCTTAGACTTCTTTTAAATGACAGCTTATTACAAATTATTATTTGCCTTTCTGGTGTTATGATTTTGCACAGAATTACAATATACTAGTTGATTAAACAGAGAAATAGGCATTTCCATCATCAATGTGTTATGTATCATAGTGTTTAAAGTTACTGTTATTCTTTGGTTTAACGTGAGCCATGAAAGAGTAGAATACATCTGATCTGGACTTGTTCTAATTGAGCAGCCCAGAACAAGTCTTGATGCTTTATTTTGCGCAACCTGAATTTTTGTCAAGTCCGTTTTAATTGCAGAAAACCACACCTCAGTGCAGTATGATAAGTGACACAATATTAATGACTCTGTTACTATTTTTAAAGTTTTCCAATTCACAAAATGACAACATTTTTTAGTTAATGCAGTGCCGCATCCTATTCTGTTAACAATAGTATTTATGTGTTCTGTCCAAGAAAGACTACTATCAATAACCAAACCCAGCAGTTTGGCCTTTTCTACTCGTTGTATTCTTTGCTCGGCTATATATTTTAATTCTGATCTAAGCATCAAATTTTGTATTCAGAGCTCACAATAAAATGTATAAATTTAATGTACAGTGTATGTTAGGAAGACAATATATATGTGAACATGAACCAGAATTGAAAACACTGTTGCATAAACTTCACAGTCTTACAAGTTAGTCATCTAATTATTTTACACAAGACTGATCATAACTGTTTTAAATCAGTGACATAAAGAGGTATTGGTGTAATTTGAATCTGAAAAGTAAGTGTGATTTGCCCTAACTAACTGCTAGTTGTTCAGTCAGTGTTGGCCAGTAACTAGATAGACTACTAGAAATGCGTTTCATTAATATTACTTTCTCTGGTAACTTGTGTAACTAATAACATTTATTTTCTTGTCACAGTTGCTAATAATTTGAAATTCAGAAATCCAATCATCTCTATCAATTTTCATAATCGTTGTTGTGTGTGTGCGCTCATGACATCATCAACGCAGCAAGTCTTTGTCTGAAGACGGAGAAGAGCATATATAAACCATATCATATAGTGGCTGAAATACAGATTTTATTTTATATTTTCTATGTTGCTGCTGTCACAGTCCTTCGTCTGCACCAGTCTGTCTCGTCATCTGCACTACACTTCCCCGGATCCTTTTGTTTCTACTCCCGGACTCACTCCCCAATCAGCCACCTGTTCCTCGTCCTGTCATCATCATTCTCACCTGTTTGCACCTCGTTTAGTTTGATTCCCCTGTGTATTTAGTTCTCTCTCCTCCAGTCTGTCTTTGTCGGTCAATGTGAATGTTACCCTGTGTTCCGCCTGTATCCTGTTTATTTGTTATTAAACCTTTTTGTATTGGAGCTTTTTGGACTCTGCCTGTTCGTCTGCCTGCACCCACCCCGTGACAGCTGCTTTATTAAATAACAGAAGGGGTTTAAAACAATCGTGGCTCGTCATCAGTTTGAGACAGTTGTAATCTTCGTTTATTTGTAACTTTCATGGATTCACAGGCTGCAAATATTATTCAATTATAATTTTGAATAATTAGAACAAAATAGAACTTGACTTAAATGGATATGGAAGTTAAATAATGACAAATGTTTTTGAAACAATAAATCTTGTTGAATTGCATTACTTGAAAAAATATGCATTGCATAAACCCCGCTTGCATTTTAATGCATTGTATTTTTAGGGCTTGCATTTTTATGGGCTGAAAGTCTACATGGTTACATATTCAAACTATTTAAAATTTTAAATTCAAAACATTTCACACACATTTTAATTATTAAAGATTCAATAATCCATTTTGAACTTTCAGATTTCATTTCCAAAATATGAATTCTGTTTAAAAGTACAATCCATAATATTTGACTGGCAATTTTTGGCCCATTTTATTTTGCTTCACAAATTCACTTCCATAAATTCAGTGGTTGAAATTGACAGGAATTTTGCTCAAAAGTTCTCAAACTTTTTTTTTTCTATTCCAAAAGATAGAAGCTATACAGAAATACTGATTTTACAAAATATTCAATTTAGGATTATATTTTCACTTGTATTCAATATTTTATATTCTCCTACACTGGACAATAAAGTGATAATTATGTGTGTCTCCACAGATTTTCTGGCATTATTGACGGGAAGAGAGAAACTGCTGAAAAGTTTCTGCTGAATCTGTTTGTTTCAACATCAGAGTTTGATGCAAATACAGAAGAAAATTACACTGAACTATTAACATCTGTGTGCAGTTACACATCTTTCCCCTATGATGAGAATAATTGTTATACCGGGACTCAGTGTGATTTCCTGCTGGATCTGTGGTCACATGTGAAGGACTATGAGACTCAAACAGGCAGGAGTGTCCTTCCAGCATTACAGCCAGTTTATCAGTCAGCTCCTGCAGTCTGGATCATAGATCTCTCACAGAGAAAGATCTCCATCCTCCTAGAAGTGCTGAAACTGCAGACAGAGAAGAAACCAGTAGATCTGATAGACTGGACAGATGAAGAGAGTGAAGTGAGGGGATTCCTCCAGTGTCTGCCCTACATCTCACAGCTCAGGTGAGTCTCATGGGGAACACACCAACCATGCTGGATTATTGGATTCAGTGCTCACAATAAAATTATTTAATTTAATGTTCAGTGTATGTTAGGAAGACAATATATTTGTGAACATGAACCAAAATTGAAAACACTGTTGCATAAACTTTATAGACTAGCCTTACACGTTAGTCATCTAATTATTTTACACAAGATCATAACTGTTTTAAATCAGTGACATAAAGAGGTATTGGTGTAATTTGAATCTGAAAAGTAAGTGTGATTCGCCCTAACTAACTGCTAGTTGTTCAGTCAGTGTTGGCCAGTAACTAGATAGACTACTAGAAATGCGTTTCATTAATATTACTTTCTCTGGTAACTTGTGTAACTAATAACATTTATTTTCTTGTCACAGTTGCTAATAATTTGAAATTCAGAAATCCAATCATCTCTATCAATTTTCATAATCGTTGTTGTGTGTGTGCGCTCATGACATCATCAACGCAGCAAGTCTTTGTCTAAAGACGGAGAAGAACATATTATAAACCATATCATTTAGCGGCTGAAATACAGACTTTTTTTATTTTTTCTATGTTGCTGCTTTATTAAATAACAGAAGGGGTTTATAGAAGTGTGGCTCATCATCAGTTTGAGACAGTTGTACTCTTCGTTTATTTGTAACTTTCATGGATTCACAGGCTGCAAAAATTATGCAATTACCAGTTATTTGGAGGTGTAATGGAAGAGTAATGTAACTAGTGTAATAAATTACTGTTGTCTGGGAGTAATAAGTAAAGTAATAATATTATTTTTGTAAGGAGTAACTAGTAATGAGTAAATGATCCATGTTTTGAGTAACGAGCCCAACACTGTTCTCTCATGACACAGTTTTAACTAAGCGTCTCTGTTTATGATCTGGCCGCTGACAGTCGTGTTGTGAGTAAATCTGTTGTTCAAATCCTTCTCTCACTCTTGTTCAGTCTCTGTAGAGATTGATTTTATTCATGTATTTCTATTATATCAGCTTCATGCAGCTCACAGTCCGTTTATATATGCGGTTATAATATAGGTACAATGGTTTTTTGCATAGTCGAGCTAAAATCTTAATCTCTCTGTCTAAATATACATCTCACAATACATAATCAAATATTCACAGGATTTGATCCTCTTCATTTTGGGCTCACACTTGATCCCTTCATGGTAAAAAGTGGCCAAAGCCTTGAAATGTAATAATTTTTTGTTCAATATTTTTTTTTTTATTATTTATTTATCGTTTTGAGAGAATTTTACGATACAAAGCAATTTTTATAAAATTTCATGAGCTTTTTTTTAATTAAAATTAATATAATTTTTTACAATTATTTTTCAATAAATGCAATATTATGAAAACCATTAAAGTAACACCAGGGAACTTTTCAACCTTCATAATATATTTCCAAGTCTCTTGTGATGGTGCATCGACTTACAATAGGTTGAATGACACGTCTGCCATAGCCTGACGGGGTCTGTAGCGTTTTTAATCGTACTTTTAAACTTCGGGTTTCGGGTAGTAACCCCGCGAACAAAACTACAATATTTGACTGCTTGACGGCATATACGTCACTTCCACCACCACCCCCACTTCCTTAAAATTGGACGTGCGAGCCAAATGTTATAGTCAACGGCTCTGTCATGACCGAAGCAGCACAAAAAAAAACAAGAAAGCAAAGGTTTTATCGGAGCAAAGCAAAAAGAGAAAGTGATCGCATTAAAGGCAGAACGAGGATTAACTTTGGGCCAGTGTTTTCTGACGTGAGCTGAAGGAGGAGGATGGGGGGGCCGACCGATGCGTACTTGGCTGTCATGTTTTTGGGCTAGTAAGTACGTTATGTTGCTTGTATACTATCTCTTTGTTTTTGTTTTTTTGTCTGCCTTACTATGTTACGGAAGCTGTCTTATCCTCCGTTTATCTTCAAAATAAAGTTAACTGGTCTTTTAACTTCTAAACGGCGTGTACAAGTTTGGTAGGGGCTACATTCTTACAAGTAAATATATAAGATGTACAAAATCATATTTTAGGATACCTAACATGTCTGTGATATTCGTTTATTTTATTGCCTCAAGCTATAATGCAAATCAATTTTTTTAAATTTGCAGATTAATTTATGGTAGCTTGAAATTATAATATTGATGATATATGGTTATTATCTACCACTCAAACATTGCATTGAAGCATCATATAGATTCAGTTAAACGGTAACTAATAGACTAGGCTACTATAATGACGCTGGCTTGTAAGCTTGAGCATCGCGATCATTTGTCGTTAGAAAAAAAAAACCCATGAAATGATATTCATATTACATGCTGAAATATATGCCACTGTACCTGGGATGAAGACATTTCACACGCGACGCAAGCAGAACACCCGCATGTGACATCCTCCGACCTACAGTGTTCAGGGCTATCAAGGTGGTCAACAAATGCGCGTGCATGTACTGCAGGATGACAGAGTTTACGACAGTAGTAGAGGACAATACTGTTTCCCAACTGTAGGGGCACCCCCGAGAGCAAAAACTCCCTGGTGTTACTTTAAAATACATATTACAGTGAGAATAGTGTCACCTGAAGGCATTAAAACACAAAAATGTGTGATGTCATGGTGTAACCAGCTATATACATATATAGAGAGGCTTTTGATTCTTTACAGTTAATAAATACTGTATATGTTGTGTGAGAGAGAGTCTTTTTTTATTGATTGATTGATTGATTTCACATATTCTCAATCTGCTCTGATGCAGTCTAACCAGTTCATTTCTTTGTGCGTCTATGTTTGTGTGTGTGTGTGTGTGTGTGTGTGCGTGTGTGTTTGTGTGTGTGTGTGCGCATCTATTTTTGTGTTTGCGTGTGTATAAGCTCAGGTGAGACTTTGCTGGTAAAAAAAAGGCCACCATGCTTGTTTTATTGTATTCATTGCTGACAATAGAATTAATGTAATGCGTATTAAACAATATGGATGCAAACATAAACCAGAAATGAATTGCATGTCACCGTAAAATAAGAAAACACTACATTGACGTGTGGTTTTGCATATTCAAGCTACAATCTTCATATCTCTATCCAAATAAAACTGACACAATACATAGTCAAATATTTATAGAATTAAATACACAAAGTTCATTACCTCTGTCTTTCAGAGAATGTGAACAATGATGAAGCCAATAATAGTGTGATTACTGTAACAAATATAGCCTACATGCTGGATGAAAAAAACTACGTCTACTACAGATGATGACGAAACAGCACAGGACTGTAGACACTAGGAGAATAAATAGGGAGAACAAACAAAGGAGGTAACGAGGGAGAATTATTAAATTAAATCAATCAGGTTATGAGGAAGGACAGGTGGGGCAAATTGATCAATCAGGTAACTTTAATCAATCAGAGAAATTTGCCCTGGGCCCACAGGAGGACCTGGTGCACCAGTCTGCATTGAGGGCGTGATCTCAGGCCCCCCTGTCGATTTAAATAGGAGACCACTGACGTATTGTCTGTCCGTACCAGAACATGATGGTCTCTGAGGTCTGGAAGAAAGTGCTTGAGAGCCAGAATTACCACCAACATCTCCAGGCAGTTGATGTGCCAAGATAGATGGTGGTCCTTTCAAGGACCCCTGGTGTAGCGGCCTTCCATAACCGCAGCCCAGCCTGTTAGGGAAGCATCCGTGGTCACAATGTGCCCCCAACACAGGATAGGGACAGGAACCAAGGTTTCTTCCACTATATATGATTTTATGTATCAAAGACACATTTGAGTGTTTTATTAGATTATCAAGACTAAGTAGCCTAAATCATATTTGACCAGCATATGACAGTGATGATAATGACGTGTCTTTTTATCATGAATCTTGAGGCAGTTTTTATACAGAGAATCTATGGGTTTTATGAGATCAGGAGGTAATGCAGTACAAAAGGTGGGAAAGGATCATTGCATTTAAATATGTACTGGATGTAACAGTGGTGAGAGAGTTTCTTTTGTATCTGAAATGTATTAAATACAATTTCAATTTATTTCCCAAATTTTTAACATGACCTTTAAAGCTAAGTGTCGAATCTAGAGTTACCGCCAGATATTTAAATGTCTGTAATAATGATATTCAGCAGACAAGCACAGTCTAAGAACTGTCTGTCTGACGCAGTTGTACCTTCATAATAACTGATTCAATGGCTTAAATAAATTTGAAAGAATGTGAAAGAAATTAATTACATAATTTGAATGTTTTTTTTGTTTGTTTTTTTGTTTTTGTTTGTTTGTTTTTTCATTTTGTTAAGTGTCACCATTATGTTCAGTTTGTTTTGTTCCTGGACTTTTAGTTTGTAATCTTTCAGTTCCTGGTTTCCCTTTGTTTAGATTCTCGCCACTAGTTAGTTTCTATGGTTACTGTCATTAGTTAGTTTAGTTCATATGTTCACCTCATTATCGTTTGTATATTAGTTCATGTCTGTTCCCTTTGAGTTTGTCCGGTCACCGTTATACTTATGTGTGTTACACTACTGTCTGTTTGGATCAGTAATCTTTGTGTCGGATCTTTATTCTTCTGTGTGTTCGTCTGCCTGCACACACACATGACAGTCAGTTTCATTTTTAGAAACCTGAGTCACAAAATGAATTCCCAGAAAAGCTTGATTCTTAAAATACATGTATAATTGTATTTGAAAGACCGGTACACACTTTCTATTCAGCCATAAAACAACAGAAGATGGGAAAACAAATAATTTATATGGTGGATCACATACAGGATTTTATTTTATCCAGATCTGGATATTAACATTCTCATTTTGTTTGTTTCCACAGAATTGATGAAGATGCTTTAGAGATGAACGAATCTGCTGCCCAGTTTCTGCTGAGTCTGACTGTTGCAGCTTCAACATGTGTTACAACTACAGGAGATAATTACATTGAGCTTTTAACATCTGTGTGCAGCTACAGATCATTTATCCGTTATGATGATGATGATGATGATGATGAGCATCAGGTTGAACACTGTGATTTCCTGCTGGATCTGTGTTCACATGTGAAGGACTATGAGACTCAAACAGGCAGGAGTGTCCTTCCAGCATTACAGTCAGTTTATCAGTCAGCTCCTGCAGTCTGGAGAATAAATCTCTCAGAGAGAAAGATCTCCATCCTCCTAGAAGTGCTGAAACTGCAGACAGAGAAGAAACCAGTAGATCTGAGAGACTGGACAGATGAAGAGAGTGAAGTGAGGGGATTCCTCCAGTGTCTGCCCTACATCTCACAGCTCAGGTGAGAGTCTCATGGGGAAATACTCTCATAGTTTGATTCAGTTTATTTAAATATTGTCAATGTTGTCAAAAACATTTATGTCAGATTCTCTAAGCTTAATTTCTATTGTTTTAATCTAGCTGAAGATTTTAACTGTAAGACGGATCTGTTGTTTTAATTTTTAGACTGCATTTACATTAATTTTGAGCCAAAACACACTGGCCCTCATTTATCAATCTTGCGTAGAAACGGGTGTATATGTTGGCGTAATATTATGCTTACACTCCTCTCACCGCCTGATTTATGAAGATGTGCGTACCTTTGAAATCCAGGTGTACGCAATGCCTGCCCTTGATAAATCCCGCGGCCAAAAACGATCGTCATTAGAATAACACGCCCCTAAATATTCAAATCTCCGCTCCCCCCACGCCCCCATTTTACGCCATGGATACACGGAAGACGGCAAAGAAGAGAAAGTTCTCTGACGTGTGCCGAAATGACCTATCACAACGCATTATTTTACAGCACGTCTTTTGAAATAGCATTCAATTTAGAATCACTTCACGTGTATTGGGGTTTACAATAGTGATGATGATGGTGTGATGTGGAGTACCATTCATTAACATTAATAATTGCATGACAATTTGCAATATTCTTCTTCTTAATATTATGATTTGTATTATTAATGGCGCTTGTTATTTAGAAGAAGAATGTCGTTATTATTATTATTTGTATTATAATTTTATGTAAAAGAAGAGGAATGTATTTTTTATTATTTTGTCAGTCTGAATTATTTTTTGGTCATTGAAAGCCTTTCATTACCGAACCCAGTCCGTGCGCACCTGCCGGGGCTTACCCTGAAACGTAAAGTACCTTACCCAGGGTAAAGTCCACAGGCTCGCAACTGAAGGAATGCTACAAATCAAATGCCTTGGTAAAGTCTCATAAATTAAACATTGAAGTCCATCTTGCACAAAAATAAATACTGAAGTTTATAATTACTATGTTGTTTTTACATTGGGTCATAATATATCATATATTTTAGTTTGCCAGTGGGTTTTGTGGTGTTAGGAATTTATCTGCGCATTTCCGCACTAACTCAAAACGTGCGTACACCACCTCCTGAGCTGGTGTAGGATTTGAGCGTTCCGTACGCCAACGTCCATATTGATAAATCTCAAAGTCACCGTGGTTTTGGGTGTACGCCAAGTGTACGCTGGAAATTTGGTGTACGCACTTTTGATAAATGAGGGCCACTGAGAGCAAAAAAGTGACGAAATCAACCTATTTTATCATGACCGTGCACTTGAACAGATGTAAGGGGTCTTTATGTGTTGTTTGTAATTATTTTAATATTTTCACTATTTTAAATATGGTTATATATTCAAAAATATTAATTTAAACCCTCATTTTGACCTTTTGTCACAAACACTTGGTTTGAGTGCTATACATCTCCTTTAAGACTGGCCACTGTTATGATTGGCTAAAGTCATTTTATAGGAAAAAGTTTCAGTGCCTCCAATATTGCACATGGGTGTTTTGAAAACATTATCTATAAATATAAAACTGCATTTACAAGGAAAATATTATGAATTTATGTGTACATTTGTTTTGTTATGAAGTTGTTTACTTGCGCTTTGTGATTTGCTGTTTTCCGATCCAATATTGTTGGCATTGCTCATCTTTCAATAAACATTTCTTTGCAAACTCTACATTAAATTGTGCCTGATCACAAACGCAAGCCTGTAGTGAAATGATCAGAACAAACATAATCTTCCAACATGATCCTAGACATCGTTTAATAATAATTAATAATAAACCATTAATAATTAACCACCCATTCATTCCTAATGCTGGAGTCCTTCAGAAGGTTGTGCAGAACTTCCCTGACATCTTAATATTTGTAAAAATAAATAATCAGATAAAAACTAGTTTAAACTTGCAGTAAGCTTCAGGTGCCTGTTAACATGAGTAGCTCTATGGTCTTGGGTGACCTGCTCTCTCTTTCTTGTCATGCTGTTGTTCTTCCTCTGCTGGCCAGGATATCAAAATGAAAGGGTAAAGTAGGCGTTGATGTGTTGTTTTGGAGTTGGTCAGATGAAAATATCTACTATAGTCTAATGTCACAGTGTGGAGGAAGTAGAAAACAAGTCATCTGGCAGCTTGATTTCAATTTATGCCAATTTTAAGGGGGTCTGAAGAGTTTTTTTCCATTGTACAATGACATCATGTATGTCAATCGATCAAAGAAAATGTGATTCCTCATTCCATAAATACTATTGGTCAACAAACATAAAACTGCTGTGTTTTATTCACTAGAGAAAAGGGAAAAGTTTGGCCCTGCTAATATCGACTTTGGTAACTAGGAATCTGTGATTTTGATAGGAGTCTCAGCTAGGCAATACCTCTACTGAAACATGTTGGTCTTGTGTTTTGGTGACTAACAACAGGAGCTGGCAACACATCTGTTTGTGATCAGCGGTTCTGTGTTTCCTGCGTTTATAATGTTTTCTTCCACACAGCGAGACTGACAACTGATATGTCAATATATTTCGGTTTCTAGATATCTGGGGAATAAATGGTATTGGTGGACAGTGTAAATGCAGCCAAAGTGTTTACTAATGCATCTGTAATGGTGGAGCAACCGTCTGTCTGACAAAAGAGTTACATTAACAGCAACTGAATCTGTTAATTAATAATTTAGAGCTTCTGGTTTCAGGAAATGTTTTAAATTGCTGTATTTGTTTCATTGTTTCACAGTTTATTTGCAGATATGCACTCTTTTTTTGTTTGAAAAATGTAATTGATTTCAACTAGTGAGATTCGATTTGCCATCATTTGATATTTTGCTATAAAAAAATCCAAAGAGCAAAACTGAAAATTAAAGATTATAATACAAATATTTGTTCATCACTTTTCACTGTTCAATTACACTGACCCTAGGTATTGTCTGACAAACTATTTGATTCATTTAAATAATCTTTATTTGTCTCCTTTGTCGTCTCTAACTGAATCTTGTTCATTCCTTCTTTAGATTTGTTGAACCACAGAATAACTCATCTGAATCATGGGAGAAAAGAAAGAGATCTTTCCTACTGGATTTGTGTCTGCAAGCTGTTCTCCACCAGAAAGAGACAATAGAAGAAACTGTGAAGAAACTGTTGTCATCTGTGAATTATGAGAGATGTGATTTTCTGCTGGATCTGTGTTCACATGTGAAGGACTATGAGACTCAAACAGGCAGGAGTGTCCTTCCAGCATTACAGCCAGTTTATCAGTCAGCTCCTGCAGTCTGGAGAATAAAGCTCTCAGAGAGAAAGATCTCCATCCTCCTAGAAGTGCTGAAACTGCAGACAGAGAAGAAACCAGTAGAGCTGATAGACTGGACAGATGAAGAGAGTGAAGTGAGGGGATTCCTCCAGTGTCTGCCCTACATCTCACAGCTCAGGTGAGACTCTCATGGGGAACACACCAATCATGCTGGATTATTGTATTCAGTGTTCACAATAAAATTAATGAATTTAATGTACAGTGTATGTTAGGAAGACAATATATTTGTGAACATGAACCAGAATTGAAAACACTGTTGCATAAACTTCACAGTCTTACATGTTAGTCATCTAATTATTTTACACAAGACTGATCATAACGGTTTTAAATCAGTTACATAAAGAGGTATTGGTGTAATTTGAATCTGAAGAGTAAGTGTGATTCACTCTAACTAACTGCTAGTTGTTCAGTCAGTGTTGGGCAGTAACTACTGTAGATAGGCTAGTGATGCGTTACAGTTATATTACTTTCTCTGTTAGTAGTGTTACTAATAACATGAATTTTTTTTTGTCACAGTTGCTAATAATTTGAAATTCCGAAATCCAATAATCACTATCAATTTTCATAATCGTTGTTGTGTGTGTGTGCGCTCATGACATCATCAACGCTGCAAGTCTTTGTCTGAAGACGGAGAAGAACATTTATAAACCACATCATATAGCGGCTGAAATACAGACTTTATTTTATATTTTCTATGTTGCTGATTTATTAAATAACAGAAGAGGTTTAATCATGGCTCATCATCAGTTTGAGACAGTTGTACTCTTCGTTTATTTGTAACTTTCATGGATTCTCGGACTACAAAACTTATTCAATTACCAATTATTTGGAGGTGTAATGGAAGAGTAATGTAACTAGTGTAATTAATTTCTGCTGTCCGGGAGTAATAAGAAAAGTAATAATATTATGTTTGTAAGGAGTAACTAGTAATGAGTAAATGATCCATGTTTTGAGTAACGAGCCCAACACTGTTCTCTCATGACACAGTTTTAACTAAGCGTCTCTGTTTATGATCTGGCCGCTGACAGTCGTGTTGTGAGTAAATCTGTTGTTCAAATCCTTCTCTCACTCTTGTTCAGTCTCTGTAGAGATCGATTTTCTTCATGTATTTCTATTATATCAGCTTCATGCAGCTCACAGTCTGTTTATATATGCGGTTATAATATAGGTACAATGGTTTTTTGCATAGTCGAGCTACAATCTTAATCTCTCTGTCTAAATATACATCTCACAATACATAATCAAATATTCACAGGATTTGATCCTCTTCATTTTGGGCTCACACTTGATCCCTTCATGGTAAAAAGTGGCCAAAGCCTTGAAATGTAATAATTTTTTGTTCAATATTTTTTTTTATTATTTATTTATCGTTTTGAGAGAATTTTACGATACAATGCAATTTTTATAAAATTTCATGAGCTTTTTTTTAATTAAAATTAATATAATTTTTTACAATTATTTTTCAATAAATGCAATATTATGAAAACCATTAAAGTAACACCAGGGAACTTTTCAACCTTCATAATATATTTCCAAGTCTCTTGTGATGGTACATCGACTTACAATAGGTTGAATGACACGTCTGCCATAGCCTGACGGGGTCTGTAGCGTTTTTAATCGTACTTTTAAACTTCGGGTTTCGGGTAGTAACCCCGCGAACAAAACTACAATATTTGACTGCTTGACGGCATATACGTCACTTCCACCACCACCCCCACTTCCTTAAAATTGGACGTGCGAGCCAAATGTTATAGTCAACGGCTCTGTCATGACCGAAGCAGCACAAAAAAAAACAAGAAAGCAAAGGTTTTATCGGAGCAAAGCAAAAAGAGAAAGTGATCGCATTAAAGGCAGAACGAGGATTAACTTTGGGCCAGTGTTTTCTGACGTGAGCTGAAGGAGGAGGATGGGGGGGCCGACCGATGCGTACTTGGCTGTCATGTTTTTGGGCTAGTAAGTACGTTATGTTGCTTGTATACTATCTCTTTGTTTTTGTTTTTTTGTCTGCCTTACTATGTTACGGAAGCTATCTTATCCTCCGTTTATCTTCAAAATAAAGTTAACTGGTCTTTTAACTTCTAAACGGCGTGTACAAGTTTGGTAGGGGCTACATTCTTACAAGTAAATATATAAGATGTACAAAATCATATTTTAGGATACCTAACATGTCTGTGATATTCGTTTATTTTATTGCCTCAAGCTATAATGCAAATCAATTTTTTTAAATTTGCAGATTAATTTATGGTAGCTTGAAATTATAATATTGATGATATATGGTTATTATCTACCACTCAAACATTGCATTGAAGCATCATATAGATTCAGTTAAACGGTAACTAATAGACTAGGCTACTATAATGACGCTGGCTTGTAAGCTTGAGCATCGCGATCATTTGTCGTTAGAAAAAAAAAACCCATGAAATGATATTCATATTACATGCTGAAATATATGCCACTGTACCCGGGATGAAGACATTTCACACGCGACGCAAGCAGAACACCTGCATGTGACGACCTCCGACCTACAGTGTTCAGGGCTATCAAGGTGGTCAACAAATGCGCGTGCATGTACTGCAGGATGACAGAGTTTACGACAGTAGTAGAGGACAATACTGTTTCCCAACTGTAGGGGCACCCCCGAGAGCAAAAACTCCCTGGTGTTACTTTAAAATACATATTACAGTGAGAATAGTGTCACCTGAAGGCATTAAAACACAAAAATGTGTGATGTCATGGTGTAACCAGCTATATACATATATAGAGAGGCTTTTGGATTCTTTACAGTTAATAAATACTGTATATGTTGTGTGAGAGAGAGTCTTTTTTTATTGATTGATTGATTGATTTCACATATTCTCAATCTGCTCTGATGCAGTCTAACCAGTTCATTTCTTTGTGCGTCTATGTTTGTGTGTGTGTGTGTGTGTGCGTGCATCTATTTTTGTGTTTGCGTGTGTATAAGCTCAGGTGATACTCTGGTGGTAAAAAAAGACCACCATGCTTGTTTTATTGTATTCATTGCTCACAATAGAATTAATGTAATGCGTATTAAACAATATGTATGCAAACATAAATCAGAATTGAATTGTATGTCACCGTAAAATAAGAAAACACTACATTGATGTGTGGTTTTGCATATTCAAGCTACAATCTTCATATCTCTATGCAAATAAAACTGACACAATACATAGTCAAATATTTATAGAATTAAATACACAAAGTTCATTACCTCTGTCTTTCAGAGAATGTGCACAATGATGAAGCCAATAATAGTGTGATTACTGTAACAAATATAGCCTACATGCTGGATGAAAAAAACTACGTCTACTACAGATGACGACGAAACAGCACAGGACTGTAGACACTAGGAGAATAAATAGGGAGAACAAACAAAGGAGGTAACGAGGGAGAATTATTAAATTAAATCAATCAGGTTACGAGGAAGGACAGGTGGGGCAAATTGATCAATCAGGTAACTTTAATCAATCAGAGAAATTTGCCCTGGGCCCACAGGAGGACCTGGTGCACCAGTCTGCATAGAGGGCGTGATCTCAGCCCCCCTGTTGATTTAAATAGGAGACCACTGACGTATTGTCTGTCCGTACCAGAACATGATGGTCTCTGAGGTCTGGAAGAAAGTGCTTGAGAGACAGAATTACCACCAACATCTCCAGGCAATTGATGTGCCAAAATAGATGGTGGTCCTTTCAAGGACCCCTGGTGTAGCGGCCTTCCATAACCGCAGCCCAGCCTGTTAGGGAAGCATCCGTGGTCACAATTTTTCGCTGACAAGGTGCCCCCAACACAGGATAGGGACAGGAACCAAGGTTTCTTCCACTATATGTGATTTTATGTATCAAAGACACATTTAAATGTGTTTTATTAGATTATCAAGACTAAGTAGCCTAAATCATATTTGACCAGCATATGACAGTGTAATGACGTGTCTTTTTATCATGAATCTTGAGGCAGTTTTTATACAGAGAATCTATGGGTTTTATGAGATCAGGATGTAATGCAGTACAAAAGGTGGGAAAGGATCATTGCATTTAAATATGTACTGGATGTAGCAGTGGTGAGAGAGTTTCTTTTGTATCTGAAATGTATTAAATAAAATTTCAATTTATTTCCCAAATTTTTAACATGATCTTTAAAGCTAAGTGTCGAATCTAGAGTTACCGCCAGATATTTAAATGTCTGTAATAATGATATTCAGCAGACAAGCACAGTCTAAGAACTGCCTGTCTGACGCAGTTGTACCTTCATAAAAACTGATTCAGTGGCTTAAATAATTTTGAAAGAATGTCTCAAAGAAATGAATTACATAATTGGAATGTTTTTTTTTTGTTTGTTTTTGTTTTTCTTTTTTTTTTTCAGTTTGTTAAGTGTCACCATTATGTTCAGTTTGTTTTGTTCCTGGACTTTTAGTTTGTAATCTTTCAGTTCCTGGTTTCCCTTTGTTTAGATTCTCGCCACTAGTTAGTTTCTATGGTTACTGTCGTAGTTAGTTTAGTTCATCTGTTCACCTCATTATCGTTTGTATATTAGTTCATGTCTGTTACCTTTGAGTTTGGATCAGTAATCTTTGTGTCGGATCTTTATTCTTCTGTGTGTTCGTCTGCCTGCACACACACATGACAGTCAGTTTCATTTTTAGAAACCTGAGTCCCAAAATAAATTTCCAGAAAAGCTTGATTCTTAAAATACATGCATAATTGTATTTGAAAGACCGATACACACTTTCTATTCAGCCATAAAAAAAACAGTAGAAGGTAAAAACAAATTTTTTTTTTTTGGCCTGGGGTGGGGGACTGCTCCGAAGAGGTGGTCCAAAGCCACAAAGAAGGAGAGGAAAGAGCTAGTGATTTCTGAGGTGGTCAGGACAGAGGAGGAGAACTACCAGATCAAAGCCCTTAGCCAAAGTCAGCAAGGACGCTGGACGACCTGGGAGGGAGTAATAAGCAGGACCGTAGGGTGGGCTGACATGTGGAGAATCCCCCAAGCCAGGCTGAGCTTCCTCATAAGGTCCACATATGACACCCTCCCAAGCCCCAGCAACCTCTGTCTGTGGTATGGCTCAGAGGAGTGCTGCCAGCTTTGTAATGCCCCAAATCCTAATCTGCAGCACATTCTATCAAGCTGCAAAACAGCACTAACCCAGGGTCGGTATAGGTGGCGCCACGACCGTGTCCTGCGGAAGCTGGCAGAGATCCTGGAGGTGCGCAGGGCGGAATCAGCCAGGGAACGCCGACCACTAAAATTAAGACGGCCGATCCACTTTGTCAGAGAGGGAGGAGGGGCCACCAAAATCACGCAGCCACAGAGATCAGCCCTGGCAGGCAGTTGCGATTGGAACCTGAGAGTGGACCTCGATCGGCAGCTCAGGTTCCCAACAGAGATCACCACAACCAACCTCCGACCAGACATCATTCTCTGGTCCGCCACAACCCGGGCAGTAATTTTGGCAGAGCTTACTGTCCCGTGGGAGGGAGGAATGGAGGCAGCCCATGAGAGGAAGAAAGATCGCTACCTCGACCTTACAGCCGAATGCAGAGAGGCTGGGTGGTCAGCTGTCAGCTACCCGGTGGAAGTCGGCTGTAGGGGGTTCGTGGGAACATCCACCCAGCGTTTCCTGAAGAGCATGGGAGTCACCGGCCCCAAACTCAGAAATGCTATGAAAGTCCTTGCCGAGGAGGCCGAGCAGGGAAGCTTTTGGCTTTGGTTAAGAAGGAAGGATCAGGCGTGGGGAAAACAAGGGTCCTAGGGTTAGCTGCAGGGGGCAGCAGGGAGACGTCCCTGCTGCCGCTCCACCACCGTGAGATGTTCCGGGATTAATGGAGCGAAACATCAATGAAGGGTGGCTCCCGGCTGATGACCCTGCAGCTACCCGAAATGGCACCGTCGGAGGTGCGGCAAGCAGAAATGCTCAGCAGGCAGTCAGTTGCCTGTGCTACCACCTTTTTATATGGTGGATCACATACAGGATTATTTTTTCCAGATCTGGACATTAACATTCTCATTTTGTCTGTTTCCACAGAATTGATGAAGATGCTTTAGAGATGAACGAATCTGCTGCCCAGTTTCTGCTGAGTCTGACTGTTGCAGCTTCAACATGTGTTACAACTACAGGAGAGAATTACATTGAGCTTTTAACATCTGTGTGCAGCTACAGATCATTTATCTGCTTTGACATTGATGAGATTTATGATGAGAATCAGGTTGATCACTGTGATTTCCTGCTGGATCTGTGTTCACATGTGAAGGACTATGAGACTCAAACAGGCAGGAGTGTCCTTCCAGCATTACAGCCAGTTTATCAGTCAGCTCCTGCAGTCTGGATCATAAAGCTCTCAGAGAGAAAGATCTCCATCCTCCTAGAAGTGCTGAAACTGCAGACAGAGAAGAAACCAGTAGATCTGATAGACTGGACAGATGAAGAGAGTGAAGTGAGGGGATTCCTCCAGTGTCTGCCCTACATCTCACAGCTCAGGTGAGAGTCTCATGGGGAACACACTGTTTCATACTGAATATTTCATACACGTTTCAACACACTGTCACACTAATCATAACTGTTTTAAAGCAGTTACATAAAGAGGTATTGGTGTAATTTGAATCTGAAAAGTAAGTGTGAATCGCACTAACAGCTACACTCTAAAAAATGCTGGGTTGTTTCAACCCAAATGTGGGTCAAATATGGACAAACCCAGCCATTGGGTTAATTTTTTTAATTGCATTTTTAATCCAAAGTTTGGGTTTGTCCATATTTGACCCCAAATTGGGTTGAAACAACCCAGCCTTTTTTTAGAGTGTAGTTGTTCAGACTTGTGCAGTGTTGGGCAGTAACTAGATAGGCTACTAGTAAAGTGTGTTACAATAATATTACTTTCTCTGGTAACTAGTAGTGTAACTAATAACATTTATTTTTTGTCACAGTTTATGATTTGAAATTCCGAATCAAGACTAAGTCCTAAATCATTTTTGACCAGCATATGCCAGTGATGATAATGACGTGTCTTTTTATTATGAATTATGAATTATGCTGGATTATTGTATTCAGAGCTCACAATAAAATTAATGAATTTAATGTTCAGTGTATGTTAGGAAGACAATATATGAACTTGAACTAGAATTGAAAACAGTGTTTCATAAACTTCACAGTCTTACAAATTAGTCATCTAATTATTTTACACAAGACTGATCATAACTGTTTTAAATCAGTTACATAAAGAGGTATTGGTGTAATTTGAATCTGAAAAGTAAGTGTGATTCGCTCTAACTAACTGCTAGTTGTTCAGTCAGTGTTGGGCATTAACTAGATAGGCTAGTAGTGATGTGTTACAGTAATATTACTTACTAGAAATGTGTTACAGTCATATTACTTTCTCTGGTAACTAGTTGTGTAACTAATAACATTTAATTTTTTTTGTCACAGTTGCTAATGATTTGAAATTCAGAAATCCAATAATCCCTATCAATTTTCATAATCCTTGTGTGTGTGCGCTCATGAAGACGGAGAAGAACATCAGAATCAAAATATTTTAAAATACAGCCTGTATTTTATTTTTTACTTTATTTAATAACACAAGGGGTTAAACAATTGTGGATTATCATCAGTTTGAGACAGTTGTACTCTTTGTTTGTAACTTTTATGGATTTAAAATTATGCAATTACCAATTTTTTAGAGATGTAATGGAAGAGTAATGTAACTAGTGTAATTAATTACTGTTGTCCGGGAGTAATAAGTACAGTAATAATATTATTTTTGTAAGGAGTAACTAGTAATGAGTAAATGATCCATGTTTTGAGTAACGAGCCCAACACTGTTCTCTCATGACACAGTTTTAACTAAGCGTCTCTGTTTATGATCTGGCCGCTGACAGTCGTGTTGTGAGTAAATCTGTTGTTCAAATCCTTCTCTCACTCTTGTTCAGTCTCTGTAGAGATTGATTTTCTTCATGTATTTCTATTATATCAGCTTCATGCAGCTCACAAATCGTTTATATATGTGGTCATAATCGAGCTACAGTGGGCTTCTGCATAGTCGAGCTACTATCTTAATCTCTCTGTCCAATATTTATATATATATATATATATATATATATATAATATAATACCACACAAAACATATTCAAATATTCACAGGATCTGATCCTCTTCATTTTGGGCTCACACTTGATCTCTTCATGGTCAAAAGTGGTCAAAGCCTTGAAATGGAACTTTTTTCAGGGAAATCAATTTAATGTTTCTTTCTTCAATAATTTTTTTTGATTATTGTTTATAAGTTTGAGAAGATTTTATGATACATTGCAATTTTTAACAAATTTGATGAACAATTTTGTTTTCAATAAATCCAATATTATGAAAGCTTTTTAAATACATTTTTGAAGTGAGAATAGTGTCACATGGAGGCGTTAAAAAAACTAAAATGTGTGATGTCATGATGAAACCACCTATACCTCCCTATATACATATATAGAGAGGCTTTTGGATTATCTACTCTTTCTGTTTGTGTGTGTGTGTATGTGTGTGTAAGATTACTGATACAGATAATACAGGGCAAAACAGCACTTTTCTTTAATGGAGCTCTAGATAAAGTCTTTACTGTCAAATCAGAAAATAAAACAGTGTAGAAACTGTCAATTACATGTGTTTGAAATGAAAGGACAATTAAGTGAATTAGTCAGAATTTGTTTTTTTATTGTTGTATTTAGATTATAAAAATACTTATTCAATTTAGGATTATATTTTGACTTTTATTCAATATTTTATATTCTCCTACACTGGACAATAAAGTGATAATTGTGTGTTTCCACAGATTTTCTGGTATTATCGACGGGAAGAGAGAAACTGCTGTAAAGTTTCTGCTGAATCTGTTTGTTTCAGCTTCAGAGTTTGATGCAAATACAGAAGAAAATTACACTGAACTATTAACATCTGTGTGCAGCTACACATCTTTCCCCTATGATGAGAATAATTGTTATACCTGGACTCAGTGTGATTTCCTGCTGGATCTGTACTCACCTGTGAAGGACTATGAGACTCAAACAGGCAGGAGTGTCCTTCCAGCATTACAGCCAGTTTATCAGTCAGCTCCTGCAGTCTGGATCATATATCTCTCAGAGAGAAAGATCTCCATCCTCCTAGAAGTGCTGAAACTGCAGACAGAGAAGAAACCAGTAGAGCTGAGAGACTGGACAGATGAAGAGAGTGAAGTGAGGGGATTCCTCCAGTGTCTGCCCTACATCTCACAGCTCAGGTCTGTGTGAAATACTTTTAAAATACCATTTTAAATGCCTTTATATTTAATTAATGATGTATGCTTTTTCAACCACAGATAGCAAACATAAATCAGTATGCTTGTATATTACCATGGCAGGATACTTTTGTATATCTATATTTAATAATTTTCATTGATTAAATCCTCGTCCTGTAGGAATGCTGATCGGTTCATCCCGTCACTATGTAAAGTGTTGGGGCCGAGAGTGAAGGCAGATCAGGTGACTCCTCTGCTCCGGGCTTTAGACTTCACTGTTACTCTGAGTGGGAAATTACCCAGCAGCTCCTGCAGATCTGTGGGGAGAGTTCTGGGCCGCTCGCCCTCCAAACTAACCCTGACTCTGAAGACACTCGCCATCTCTCTCAGAGGACTCAAACTGCTCTTCAAACACATCACACACCTGCACAAACTGAGGTTTCACATTCATCATCTGCATTCACACTTTTAAATCATCCTGAAATACTCTTTGAATGTTTCTCATGATCTCTGATTTTGTCTTTGACAGTGTGGAAGACGAACTGATAGTGAAGATGTTCAGAGCGCTGAGATCATTGAATGGTCCTTTTCCACTGATAGAGGAGTTTTCACTCACAAAAGACTCGAAGCGAAATCTCTCTCGTATCTTGAGCAGCTTGACGTCTCTCCTGAGACTGTTTTCTGTTCAGTGTTTGGATCTTACTGAGTGTAAATCAGAGACTCTGTCTCTCACGGCTCTGTTGGGTCTCAAGGAACCTGTGACTATCAGGTCTGTGTGTGTTCAGCAAGTTGGTCCATTTTCTGTGAGTAAATCAACCGGTTTAACAAACTGACCAGTTGTGTGTGTGTGTGTGTTCAGGTTCTCTAAAGAGACTCTTCAGCGGCTGGTTTCTGTGGTGTATGAAGCACAGGATGATGAACTGACACACTCTTTCCTGAAGAAAGTGTCGACGGATTTGACTTCCTGCTCACTGACCTGGGAAGTGATTCATTACCTACTGACACATCAAGCTCTGAATCTGAAGTTGGACGTGAGAAAGAGCAAAATCTCTTGTGAAAACATCCGAGAACTTCTGCCTTTGATAGAGAGAATCAAGTTGAAAAGGTAAAAATAATCCATCACGAATAGAGCCATGGTTTCCCTCCCTAATTTCATTTCATTTATATATATATATATATATAAAAAAATTTTTACATACCTCAAATGTGAGTTGTGAAACCACTGTGTGCTTTAAAAACATAAGTTGCTAACAAGTTGCTTCTGGTTTTTCAGAGTCCCCTGGCTTATTTCTCAATCATTGAAGAAACTCGTAAATAAAATCAATAAATAAAAATAAGACTTTAATGTTTGTTGTAGAACAAAATCTTTTAAAGTAATGTTTGACCACAGACTTTATATTTGCTCATGAATAGAAAACCACTATTCTAAATACATATTAGAAAGTTTGCAGGCTGTCCCGTGGCAAATTAGATTTCTGGGTCACTTTCTGGATAAACCATTGCATCTTTATTAAAGAACATGTATTTTTCTTCTCTGTATTCACCGAGTGACTTTGATTCAATAGATTTTACTGAATGATCTTATTCTCCACAGGATGAGTCCCAGCTTTACTCTGTCCATCATTATGGAGATTTACGAGACTCGCTCTCCTCAGTATGTGTCCAGTCTGATGAGTTCAGCAGGAAATGACATCAACCTGAACAGCAGAGTGTTGGACTCTGTTCACTGCGCTGCCCTGCGCTTCACTCTCGAGAACTGCAACACTGTTAAACTCAGTCTGCTCTGGACCTCCATACCAGAGAGGGAGCTGGAGAGCTTTCTGCCTTTGCTCAGCGGAGTCACACGACTCAGGTCAGCTCATTTAACAGCAATGATATTATAATGCCTGTTGTTTTGCTCAAGAATCTCTCCGTTAAAAGTGTGTGTGTGTGTGTGTGTGTGTGTGTGTGTGTGTGTGTAGTGTTGACAGGCTGCTGCTGCTGAAGCTGCTTCATGGCTGCAGTTCCTCTGATCTCCAGCAGGGGACAGCATCTGTTCTGCTCTCTGCTCTTCACAACACACTGGACTTCTCCTGCGGATCGGCTCTGGATTTAACAGACACGCTGGAAAATCAACAACATTTGATACTCACTGATAAAGACTGTAAAATAATCACATCTGTGCTTCAGAAAACCCAAAGTGTTGTGAAGTTGGTTTTACAGGACTGTAAGATCTCTGATACGGCCCTGAAACAACTTTGGCCACTCCTGCCTCGAGTCCAGCTGAGGTGAGAAATATCTGACTGATACCTCTCATTACTGATATCACACAGTCCAATTATTTATCTGCATATAAACTCCCTGTATATTATCATTGTGTTGTTCTTCCTCTCTTCAGTTGCAGTAAAGCTTTACTGCTGCAGTTTCTGGCTTGTATCAGTAAAGATGGATCTCAGAGAGGCTCTTCGAGGAGGACTGAGGCTCTTTCACAGGCTTTAGGAGGAGAGATGGACCTCAGTCAGACTCAGATGGACCAGAGCGCTTGTGAACAGCTGGCGCTGTTTCTGGAATATTCTGAAGGGCTGAAAGAACTGGATCTCAGTCACTGCAAACTCACGGATCACTGCATGAAGCCGCTGATGCCGCATCTGCACAAAACTCAGACTCTGGAGTGAGTTACAGAGACACCACAGCAATAGACAAACACTAAACACATGTTCACTTCTGTTCATTTATTGTTTCTGTCTCATTTCTTCTCATAGTGTGAGTCACAATAATATAACAGACGAATCAGCAGAGAGAATCCACAGCGTCGTCTCCAGTCACAGCAATATCCAGACTGTGCGGTGAGTGTGTGTGTGATGGTTTTCATTTTTGAACCCATATTTTTCATTAATGAAACAGTAGTTTTAGTGATTTAACAAACAAAACCTAATTCATTTGATTTTTACATTATAGAGTCGTCTGTTTTCTGTAATATGATTTAATTTATTGTTAAATTACAAGTTAAAATAATGCAAGCAATGCTAGTTCTAGATCCACATTGTTGAAGGGCCACATGATAAGCATTTCTTGAAGAATTTAAATATGATTGAATAAGCCTGTATTTTTGGTATATAAAAGTGCATCTTTAAAATGAATTATCATATACATAAATGTCAGTGGTTCAGTTTAGAATGCATATTTTGCGCACAGCTTAGCCAAATATAATTTATTGAAATACTTAGATGAATACTTTAACTTTTTGAATCAGACTGACTTTTGAATCAGATGACTTTATAATATCATATTGTGCTGAATTTTGTTTTTTCAGGCTGTTCGGGAACAAAGTCAGTGACAGAAAGAAGTTCATCGGAGACAAGCGATTTGAAATATGGTGAAGATCCTGGACCGTAAACCTGACAATTCATTATTAAGATGTTTTGTAAATTACTCAATTCATGATAAAACAAAGTGTCAATCACTTTAAAAAGCATGAAACATTGAGTCATAGTTTATTTTTATGAATATTTTTAAAGAAATTTATTTATATCTTTAATGTAGTCTGATTCATTTAAACCAGAATGATTAAATATAAATGTTTGTATTGGCTACGTTGTGGACAATATTTTGCCTTAATATACATATAAGAGTAATAGTTATTTCTTATTAATGTACATTTCTATGTGTTGATCTGTCTAAACTGGCTTCCAGTCGCTGCTCATCACGTTGAAGAGACTGACTGTGTCTCTGAGTTCGAGCCTGTACTTTATCATTTGTATTCCACATAAGTCACATTGGAAGGACTGTTATATAAATTAATGTAAATGTGATGTAAATTAACTCTTATTTGAGTAAAGTTGCGTGGGCCCTTAGAATCGTCCTAACTAAGATTAATAAAGGTTTTCGTTTCATGTTGTTGTAGTAATTTTCCATTGACTTTGCTGTGTTATAATTGCACTTGTTGAATTAGAGCTGGTAGTTTATTCAATAAGCTTTTAGTTGCGTCTTTGCCAGTGCTCAGGAAATAAAAAAGGGTTAATAGGTGTTGGTGAGTAGGTTTTCTCATCAGTGGGTTTTTTCTCATCCTTCCCTGTACTTTCTCTTCGCTCTGCCTTATTCAACCAGTACATGATTGTTTTCTTACAATCCACACACACATATCTCACACAAACTTTTGTTCCTCACTCCCCTCTTCTATCGAGTCGCGCACCGCTGTCAGCCTAGTGACACTTAAAGTCCCCTTTTCAGGGAAATCATGGTATTTAATTAATTCTTCTTAAGTACCCTTCAAACCTATGCTTTTTTCATCAGACTAAACACTGGTTTATCAAAATTATTATTTTTGCTGGCACATTTTACTCTGAGATTTCCTATTTTCTGTGTTTTTTCCCCCCTGTGCACTTATATAACTTCAGTTTTGATCCTCCAGACCCTCGGGGTCTCCCCCACTACAGCACCGTGGATTATCTAAAGTCTAAACCCACCAGACTAGTATCCCCGCTCTCGTCACAACAGTGTTCCCTTGACCATCATGAGTCAATCCCTTATAATTTACACTTTGTCTCTTACCTCTTAAGAGGCACATCCAAGGAATCCTGCCGACAACACCAAATTGTGGTGGCAAACAATTTTCTATTACTGAATAATAGACAAACATGTATCAAATGTCAAAGAAGACTATTTATTCCCTTGCAAGGAAAGGTCAGCAATCATACAGTCATACAAGTGGCTGCGGAGTGTGACAACGAGAGGAGGGCATCCTTCCTTTTTTATGGTCAAGGTTATTTCTCTAGGCTAACTTAAATGAAGATATCTCAGCCATAACTAACACATTGGTAGACTTGTTTATCATATGCTACCCTTGAGTGCAGGCCCTCTGTCCAGGTCATACATTTATCATGCATTTCTTATTGTCCAGCCATGTATACAAAGGTCACACATAAATACGTTCATAAGGGTTAATAACAGTTCTTTTCTCTATCAATGAAGCAGAGAAGCATGGGACTCCACATGAAATTGTCGTGCATTTTATTACCTTAATC